AAAGGGATATTCGCTTTAAAAATTAAAGGATATTTCTATAAAAGGGTATTTTGCTGATGGAGAAGGTTTTTCAATGAGCCTTCTGATCGCAACACTTCTCTGGTGTGGTAAGAACTGGATTCTTATCTTTAAACCTGTGAAGATTTAATTGTTTTATTCTGATCATCATGTTATCAGGGACAGAAACCCATATTCCATATTTTCATTGCAGGAAATGCTCACACCGACTTGTGGGTGGGGGGTCACCTCCTCTGACCAGCTGCAAGGTCTCTTTCGCTTTGGATAAGGTTTGGCTATGGATGTGGCAAGCTTCAAAATCCTGCCCTAATTATTGCCACACTCGTTAATAACCTGTGACGACCTTTGGCAGCCTCTAGGTAGATCCAAACGGCAGGGGCCAGCGGGAGGCGCGGGACGGCAGGAAACGGGGGAGCTCCGGCGGGCGCGCAGAACCAGCAGGAGCCGGCGGCTGCAGTCCCGGCGTGGAAGGAACGGGGCCGCGGCAAAGCCGGCCCGGGCAGGGCGCCGGGAAGCCCGCAGGGGCTCAGGCGAGCAGAGCCGGCGAGAGCTCCCGCAACCAGCCCGCAGCTGAGAGATGCGAACGGCGGAAATGGCTGCGCTTTTATTCCTCCAGTTCTCACGCAGTTCCCGCAGGATCTCAGTTCCAGGGGTCCCCCCCTGCCCCGCCCCGTCCACTCGGGACCGGCACCCCGGGCACGGCGCAGCGCAGCCCCGTCCCCAGGCGGTTGCTTGGGTTTTGGGGGGAGGCTGCTGAGCTCCGCCTTGCGCCTCTGTCAGCGAGAACCCTCTCATGGTGGTATGGAAAAAATACAAGAGAATTTAAACTATAACAGCTGGTGTTGGTGACTGTGACTGACCTGAATAATTAGAGGTTAATGGGGAATTATTCAGTGCACCAGAAGTGAGAGAGAAAATCAGCTTGATCAGACCCCATAGGGGTGGTTTATTGGAAGTGCCAATAAGGAATAACAGGAATTGCCACAGCCCCCATCTCTTGGCTTGGTCCCACCTGCCCGCACCGCTGCCCCTGGGAAGCGCTGCTCTTCCCAGCTGGAAAACCTAGAAACATTTCTTTTCTTACTTCCTAAAACTCCTCTCTGGAAACTTCTACTCTCCCATATTTCTCCTCAAACAGCGTCATTTCTCCTTCCGTCTCTCCAGAAGTGGCATTGCTGCTCCCTGGCGTTTCCACAATTAATATAATTGATGCTGAGCCTCTCTGGGATGGTGAGAGGGTCCAGAGTGGGGTCAGGCCAGGGCTGGACTGAGATCAGGCCAGGGCTGGCCGTACCAGCACCGCCGCGCGCTGCAGCTGCTCATAGGACACGAACATGACCACATTCCAGGAGCCCAACCGCAGGAAGGATGGGATGAAGCTGTGCCGGGAAAAGCAACACTGAAGAGGATGTACCAGGGACATCCCCCTCCCCAAAGCCCCGCTTGTGGGTTGGGATATCTGGAGTTCAGTGCCATGTGGCCACACGGCTGTCACGGCGAGTTTGTGGGTGTTCAGTGGGGTGTTCCCAACTCACCCCTTGTAGAGGCCGGCGAGGCCATCCTGCTTGAGCAGAGCCAGGAGGCAGCTCAGGGCATTCTGGTACTGCCCGGGGCTGGCGTTCATGTACCGTGTCTTCACCACATCTACTGGTGATGCCACCACCGTGGCGCAGAACCCAGCGCCGAAGGCAGCCACAAAGTGGCATGGAACATTGTCTAAAGGCGGGGAGGAGACAGGGTTGGATGTTGTGGGGACAGGGAAGGCCCTGCCCGTGTCCCCCCTCATGGGATGTTGTCTAAAGGCAAGGAAGAGCCAAGGGTTGGATGTTGTTGGGACAGGGATGGCGCCTGGCTGTGTTCCCCCTCATGTCATTGAGGATGTTGTGAGGACAAGGATAGCGTCTGGCTGCATTCCCCTGTCACGGGACGTTGTCTAAACATGGAGAAGAGCCAAGGGTTGGATGTTGTTGGGACAGAGAGGGCCCTGGTCATGTCATCCCTCACAGGATGTTGTCTAAAGGCAGGGAAGAGCTGGGGTTGGATGTTGTGGGGAGAGGGAAGGCCCCAGCAGTGTCCCCCCGTGCCATTCTCACCTGCCATGAGCCCTGTCCGCAGCAGGACATCCTTGAGGAGGTCGTAGGTGACGAGCTCCCCGCAGTTGATGATGGCATTGCGGGCAATGTTGGGCAGCGTTCCTGGGTAGGAGAGGGGGGGCATTGGGAATGGGGGTCACAGCTCCTCCTGGAGCACCCTGGGCGGGTGCCCCAGCCCTGCTATCCCCATCCTTGTCCCCTTCCTCATCCCCATTTTCATTTCCATTCCCATCCAATCCCTTCCCATCCCCTTCCCCCGTACCTCTCCAGAGCCCGCGGATGCCTTCCTCCCTGGCGATGGTGCGATAGGCATCCACAGTGCCACTGTACTGGCGGGCCCTGTCCAGCAGTGCCCCGTTGGCTTGGAAGCGGACCTTGACCACATCGGTGGGCTGGGCACAGGCCACAGCCACGGCCCCTGTGGTGCAGCCTGCCAGGAGCCGTGCAGCCAGGCCTGTATCTGGAGAGAGCAAGTGCTGGGATCACTGGCCTTGCGAGAACCCCCAACCCCGTGGGGACCCCAGGGCAAGGAGGACCCTGGGCTGTGTGGGAACCCTGGACCTGCAGGGGTCCTAAGCCCTGTGGGCACCCTGGGCTATGGGAGGACCGTGGGGCAAGTGGGGACCCCAGCGCTTCACCAATGGTCATCTTGTGGGTTTGTGCCCCTCCAAGTGGATTGCTCACCCCGGAGTGGGCTGTGCCCCTCCAGGGTAGGGTTGTGCATTGGGATGGGGGGGTGCAGGGATGTCTGGACCACCTGAACACTCACTCTCAGCACCCTTGGGGGTGTAGAGCTGCTTCACGGAGTCATAGAGCCCAATGCGGATGGAGGCGAAGCTCATCTGGCGCTGCAGCCCGGCTGCCAACCCACTGTACAGGCTGCGGGGTCCCTCTGTCCTCACCATGGTGCTCAGCGTCCCCAAAACACCCTGGTACTTCACAGAGCTGATGGCCCGGGGGATCTTCACCTCACCCTGGATCTGCAGGGTGCCAACCGTGTCACCGCGCCTTCCGTTCCCCTCCAAACGCCACCAGCTCTGGGGTGGAGCTGGCATGGGGAGTCCCACTGTCACAGGACAGTCCCTCTGCCCATGGGATTTTGGGGGGCCCGGCGGGTCATACCTGCAGGCGCACTTTGGCGGTATCCAGGGGGAAGGTGCAGAGGTCAGCGATGCATCCGGCCATCCCCGCGCTGACGAACTTCATGGCGGTGGTTGGGGGCACCTCGGGGGGCTTCAGACCCACCATAGTGGCAGAGGGGCTGGAGGGAGGGGAGGGGTTTATGGGGGATCCGGGATGCTGCGATGGATGGGGCTTCACGCAGGTTTGGTGATGATGTGCCGGGGTGGTTTCTGCTGGCTTGGGACAACCCCAAAACCCATATCCAGCCCTGTTTCCTAGCTTGCATCCCCGGGGAAGTTGAGGCATGGAGCTTCCTTGCTCAGCATGGGATTCACCCATTCCCACCCTCCCCTATCCCGCCCCAGCCATAATGGGGGTTGCTCAGTGAGATCTTCTCCCGTGTTCCCCCCATGGCCTCACCGTAGGGACCTCGGCACTGCTTCTTTGCTCCTGCCTTGCTCAGGCAGCACCCTGAGAGCCGACTCCTTGGCCCCACCTTATATAGCACCCAGGATGACATTCCAGCAGCCACGGATTGGATCGGGTGACAGGAAAACTGAGTTCCCCCCGTGGCATTTGAGCTGATGGGAGTGGGGTCACCTGGTACCCATGACAGGGTTGTTGTTTCAACCCTCTGCCCACACTGAGGGCTCAGGCATGGGAAGCAGGGATCCTGCCCAAATCCCAGAACCCATTGGAGCAATGCTGTGGGGAAGCACCCAGCAATGTCCAGGTGGCCACTGGGACTGCAGGGATTGGGGAGGAATGTCAGGTTTTAACCTAAAAGTGCTCTGGGAAGAATGAGATGTAGAAAATGCCCAAAAAAACCACCATCCCCACAACGCCCTTCAGAGTGTGGCTGGGCACTGGGGCTGAGGCTTCCGGGGACGACAAGGCTCCAGACAAGAGGCTGGAGGCCAAGGTGGAGTGCAGAAATGCCCCTTTAACTCCAGTTTTAAAAACTTCCATGTGTTTAACCCTTGGTGTTCCTCAGCACCACACTCACAAAGCCTGAAGGGATGGGCCACATCCCTCTGGATGTGCCAGGAACCTCCATGCTCACACCTGAGCTTCCCTCGCATAAGAGGGACTTTGAGTGGTTGTGATGTCCTGAAACCACTTTTGCTCCATCCCTTGGGCTCCAGGAAAAAGCTGCCTGGCACTGACACCCTTTTCCAGTTGGCTCCTGCCTTATTTTCCTGCCCATCTGCACAGCTGACCTAAACCCAAGAGGAAGGTGCTGTTTACCTCATGCCCAAGGGATCAACACTTGTCACCTCCTCTGTGACAGTGTTCCCAGCCCAGCTGGCATCCCGCCTGGGTTTTTTTGGGAATGCAACTGGGAGAAAGCAGCCTGCACGTCACTCCTCTCCCTGCAGGGGACACTGAGCATGTTTACCTCCCATCCCGACCCGGCAAGAGCAGGAGGGAAATGGGCCGGGATCACAGGGCAAGTTGTGCCAGCAGTGAATTACACATTTAGGGTGTCCCCTGGGAAAAACAACACTACAGAGGGAGGAGGAAAAGGGGCTGCTGATCCTTTGGCTCCTTTAAATCCTGAAATCCGTGTATGGTTTGAAAAGCAGCTTGAATTGGGAGCAACTTGTCCCATGCAGCTGTGCTGTACAGTGATATTGAGTTCCTTGGCAAAGCAGTGACCTTTCCATGTGTCCCCAGCCAGCCCAGCTTCCAGCAGCATTTCTCCACCCTGGAAGCTTGTGGAGGAAGGAGTCCTATTCCCTTTTGAGGGGGACACTTCACACTAGCTGACAAGAAACCAGGGGAATTTTATTGAAACACAAAGACTAGAAAGAGAGTAGTACAAAAATAACTGAGCTCTGTTGGCATCAAAGTCTGTTCTCCAAAAGGTGCAGGACATAAAAATATACAAAAATAATTTAGGATAAAAAAATTTCATCTTTCTAGTCCCCCCCCTTTTGTACACTCAGCAGTGTTTTACAGTGCCCTTGGCCTGTGTTCACTCAAGCACTCTGGGCATCTCTAGAAACTGCAAATTGTGCTGCCCACCAGCTATTTTTGAAAGGGTGATTTCACAGGAATATATCCCAAAATTAGACTATGTGGAGAGCTCATGGGTCACCCACAGGGGTGCATCTCTTCGGGGACCTGCCCCTGCAAGACACACGGTCACGTAACTCCCTGTGGGTGATCAAAGGCTTTAAGCCCCTCTAATTAGGGGATGCCCAATTAACCAACCAATTAGGCAAACTAAAAGCAGAGCCTGAAAGCTGTGGCTTTCACCTGCCCTCTACTGGAGGATCCAAAGGTTGGGATCGGGAAGCTCCACTGTTGATGGTCTCTCATGAATGCTATTCCTTCTTGGAGAGCTGAGCTGAGAAGATCCTGGCAATTCTTTGGGCTTCCTCTTCTGAGAGGTTGGGCGTGGGCTTGGGATGATTTGGCCTTCGGTATGGGATGCCCCCTGGTACTGCTCCGCTCCTTCTCTCCTGTGGAGAGAACGAATCAGGTGTGAGAACTCTGCCAGCACATGGATTTGGGTTGTGGCAAACCACAGGGAAACCAGTTGGATGCACAGGAAAAACCACCACAATGAGAAAGGTCCCAACCCTTAACTCTGACTTTGTTAAAGTCCATCCTCAGCCAAAGCCTCCCTCGTGAAGCCAAAGGAATGACACTGATGTAGTCACTGGGATCTGACTCTCTGTGTTTTGGCTATCAATTATTATTTCATTTCTTTAATTTGCAGAACCCTAAAGACCAAACCCCCTTGCAGTGGAGAGGCAATGCTCTGGCACAACAAATCCAAGCTGGCTGACAGTACAAGGCAGGGAATGGGTTTAAACTAAAAAAGGAGAGATTTAGATATTGGAGAGCGATTCTTCCCTGTGAGGGTGGTGAGGCCCTGGCACAGGTTGCCCAGAGAAGCTGTGGCTGCCCCATCTCTGGAAGTGTCCAAGGTCACGTTGGACAGGGCTTGGAGCAACCTGTTCTAACGGAAGGTGTATCTGCCCATGGCAGGGGGGTGGAATGAGATGAGCCTTGAGGTTCTTTCCAACCCAAACATATGATTCCAGGACAAATGGGATGGGCCAGTGTAATGGACTGATTAAACGATGGAGTCTGCTTCTCCACCGTCTCGAGCATGGAGCTAAAAAGCCCTGATGCCACAGCCGGGCTGCTGCAGGAGCTGAGCTACTTGCCAAAGCTCCAGGAGGCAAGCCAGCAGAGGCAGGTAGACGAGCGAAAAAAGATATAAACTTGTTACAATCAAGAACACGGCCAGGAGTTACTCTCCCAAATAAGGTATGCCAGGCAGATCTTGCTTGGAGACTGGGGAACCAGCCAATGGACACTCAGGGCCCATCTTGGTACCAGGTGACCTTTGCTGGGATACTGCTGAACTGGCCAGCGGGCATCCAGGGGCTAGCATGGTGAGGGTATTTAGGGACATGCCCGGGGCCTGCTGGGGGAGCTGTTTGAGGACTGCTGTGGGAGCTGCTGCCAATCTGTTACTCTGCCAGTTCGGCTCCTTCCTCGGAGGCTACAAGGCAACTAGGGAAGAAGCCCAGCAGAGATCTACCAGCTTGCAAGCCAGAGGCACTTCATGGTGGTGGTAACTCCTGTCCCCTGTGTTTTTAACAGTTACCCTTAGCTTTTCCTACTTTTCTGTTTTCCTTCTTTCTCTCTGCTCTTTTGTGTTACAAAATAAAGTTGAATTATCGTTTTGGGATCCAGCATCTGGCCTCGTTTGTGCCTTAATCTTGCTTACAGGAACGTTTTAGAACCTGGTTCCCCTCTGCATCTAAGTGGATCAGAACAGCCAGGCTCAGCTGAAGGGACCCCAAAGGAGCATCCCCCAAGAGGAAAACCCCTGGATTAAGCAGTGTCACCTCCTCTGTGGTTTGTTGGCAGCCTCCCAGAAGCCTGGCTTTGTCCCAGATGTTTCTGTAGCACTAAAGACAGGTAATTTAGCTACAAAGAAACTCATATTTCTCCCCAACTAGAGCCAGCTCATGCATATGAAGCACTGAGAAAGCCATGATCTGGCTCCAGGAGCCTTTAGAGAATGAAGCTGCGGGGCCAGGAAAGGCTCCTGGAAAGCTGATCCACCAGTCTGGCCTTTCACCTAGATCCCTGCTTCTCTGAGACCCAGGAAAGGTCTTTTGAGGTGACCAGCTCCCTCCCAAGAGAAACAGCACCAGGATTCTGTTTCAGTGAGCTCCTCTCTGATGTTTAGAGGCAAATGGCTTTTTTAGGAACAAGCGAGTCCTTGTGTTTGGTTAACTGTACATTACAGGCTCAGGTGACACTGTGCAGATAAATATACTTTAAAACACTTCCCATTTTATCACACTGAAATAACATACATGGATAATTAGGAGAATCTTTGCTTTGTTCTTGTTTCTTAACAATTCTCCAGGATGATTTTCCTAAAACAAAATGTAAGGAGCCAAGAGAGGTTAAATGCAGACCTGGCAACAGCAGAAGCTTAAAATCCAGCAGAGAGAGCTGCCCTCTGTAGAAAGCACCTAGCACAGGGCTGTCCAGAGAAGACCAAGTCAGTAGCTCATTCTCCCCACACTGTTTTCTGCCCATGTGTCCATGAACAGCCAAAACATCAGGAGTGGCTGCAGAGGGGCAGTAACCAGACTCAGTGCTGATCCTGGAGTTCATCACTACGCAGCTCTCTAGAAAATTCCCCAAATCTGCTAATTAACCCTATTTCAGAGGTGCATGAAACTGCACTTCCCACCTCTCACAGTTCCCCTTTTCCATGTGCCACACATGTTGTTGTGCTCAGCCAGGGATGGAGAGCCAGCACCTCCCATTTTGAATGTGAGGAATAGAATCCCAGAGTTGTTTGAATTGGAAGGAACCTTAAAGATTACCTTGTTCCAACCCCCTGCCATGGGCAGGGACACCTTCCACTAGACCAGGTTGCTCCAACCTGGCCTTGAACACTTCCAGGAATAGAAACCACGGCACAGGAGCAGGTGTTTGATGCTATTTGACCTCACCAAGGTGAAGGAGAGCAGTTTGTTTGCTCTCGAAGTCAGTAAACAAGGTGTGCTTGAAAAACATGTCACTAGCATGTTGTTTCAGATAGAAGTGGCTAAAATAGACCTCCTCCCATTTTCACTCCTCCGTTCCAATGTGCAGGATGCAGAGGTGTTAGGATGTGTGTATCTATCCCAAGGATGTTCCTAAAAATGAACTTTCAGTTGTGGGAAAGATTTAGCAGCTCTCCTTGCTGCTTTTCTACATGTCCAGGCATGAATCAAAATGAGAGAGATTTAAAAGCACTCTTAACACTCCCAGCTCGCACAGATAACCAGAGTCATGGATCATGCAATTGCTGAGGTTGGAAAAGATGCATATCATCATTGAGTCCAACCATTCCCCAGCATTGCCAAAGCCACCACTAACCAATGTCCCCAAGTGCCATATCCACATGGCTGTTAAATCCCTTCAGGGATGAGGACTCCAGCCTGTGCCAATGCTGGACAACACTTTTAGGGAAAGAATTTTCCCAATATCCAACCTAAACCTACCCTGGCACAACTTGAGGCCATTTCCTCTTGTCCTGTCCCTTGTTCCCTGGGAGCAGAGCCCAACCCCCACCTGGCTCCATCCTCCTGTCAGGGAGTTGGAAAGAGCAACAAGGTTCTCTCTCAGCATCCTTTTCTCCAGGCTGAATTCCCCCCAGTTTCCCCGCTCCTGGTGCTCCACACTCTCCCCCAGCTCCATTGCTCTTTTTTTGGACATCAAACCTCCCTTTTGATCCATCAAACAGGCAGTTTCTACTCATCAGTTTTCGCCTCCTGCATATTTTCCAGAGCACACATCCAAAATGTTGTGTTTACACCATTCCTCGCCCCAGGAAAAGGCTCATCCAGACTCCGACCTGAGCACACACAGAGCCCATCCCAGGATTCTCCCTCTCTCTCTGTCGGAGTGTCTGGTGCTCAGGCAGGAAGCTCCCGCATTCCATTGGGAAAGGGATTGTGCACTGAGGATCATGCTTCACTTTTCTTTTTATAGGAATGGCAGTGACACTGACACCAGCTGAGGATTATTCAGGGGCTGGATTAAAGCAAACAGATCCATGAGCATTTTATAGGTCATGGAGATGGTAGGGTTTGGACCCAGGGAATATTTCAGGACTGTGGCTCAGCAGGTTTGCTGGTGGTTTTGTTTGTGCCCAGGGATGAAGGAGGGCAAACAGATGTGTGTTAACAGGCTACAACCTCCCCTGGGAGTTGCACCTATTCCTGCTTTCCACGCAGGAAATCAAGTAGAGCCAGCAGATCAAGAAGACACAACACAACCAAAAAAGGATGTTTCGGCTGTTGCTGCCATCGACATTTTTAGAACATATAAAACCTGTTATTGTGAATTTGCTCAAGGCTGTGTCTAATTCCCACTGAAGGTAAATCTATCTATATACAAATAAGAATTTTTCTGAGTAAAACTGTTTTTTTTTATCCTTTTGGAATATTCCTAGAGGTGAGGGGGGAAAGAAATAAAAAATATTTGGAGTGGGACTTTTAGCAAGGGCTTGGAGTGACAGGACAAGAGGGGATGGCTTCCTCCTGCCAGAGGGCAGGGTTAGATTGGATATTGGGAAGAAATTCTTCCCTGTGAGGGTGGTGAGGCACTGGCACAGGTTGCTCAGAGAAGCTGTGGCTGCCCCATCCCTGGAAGTGTTCAAGGCTGGACAGGGCTTGGAGCAACCTGTTCTAGTGGAAGGCGTCCCTGCCCATGGCAGGGGGGTGAGATTGGATGAACTTTAAGGTCCCTTCCAACCCAAACCACTCTGGGATTCCATGATTCTTTTTCAGGCTGTTTGTTGATCACTCCCAGATAAGATGATGCATTGATTTCCCTCTGTATGACCTACAAAACAAACACTCTAAGGAACCTTTATGTCACTGGAAACAGCTTCCTTGACAAATCAGAACAGAATAAGGCAGGATCTAATAGCTCTGTGGAACCCTGTGGGGTTTAACACTAATATCAGTTTTAGTTGAATTCCCTCTCTGGGCAGTTCTGAGCTGAGTGGCTGGAAATACAGTCCTGAAAATGATTAATAATTAGGTAGACTATTAGCAAAGCACTATTTGGATATAGCTAATCTCAAACCAGCCTGATTCCAGGATTAGCTGCAGCACTTGTAAGGTCTGCTGAGACAGGACTCTGTTGTGCCTTGTGCTCCATCAAACACCCTGTGTGAAGAACATTTGCTGCTGCCAATGGTAAAACAGAGTTCAGCAAAACTGCTTTCTCATAGTTTTCATTCTAACTGGCCTTGGGAACATCAGTTTCTAAACCCGGGCTGTTTGGTTTCTGCACAGTTCAGCCAACACTGAGCGTGACAGCATGGCTGCAATCTGAGCTGCTCTCTGAGGATCACCAGACTCCTCTCGCTCACGTGGCAGCTGGCAAACATCTCTCCTGGCTTTTCCAGTGCTCCTGCCACCCCTCTCTACCTTGTCTGACTCCCTGCTTTCCCAGTCTTCCCTCACGGAGTGATTTTGAGACAAAAATGCTGTCTCAGCTCCTGCTGTGAGGACGTGAGGATCTCAGGAGGTGCTGTGGCAGCTCAGGCCTCAGCCTGGATCTGTGACCACCTTTCAGGGGTCCAAGTTCTGCAGAGCCTCATGAAACTTAGATTTTTTTTTTACTCTTTTTCTTCATCAGACTCAGGCTTCCAGTTCTTGAGGTCCTCTTCCACACTCTGCTCTGAGGGGGGGCATGAGGATGGATTTTAAAAATGAGAGAGTTAATAAACTTTTCTATAAAATCATAGACGCACTGAATGTTTTGGGTTGGAAGTGACCTTAAAGCTCATGTCGTTCCAACCCCCCTGTCATAGGCAGGGACACCTCCCACTAGACCAGGTTGCTCCAAGGCCCATCCAACCTGGCCTTGAACGCTTCCAGGGCTGGGGCACCCACAGCTTCTCTGGGCAACCTGTGCCAGGGCCTCACCACCCTCACAGCAAAGAATTTCCTCCTAATAACCAACCTAAATCTCTCCTCTTCTAGTTTAAAACTGTTCCCCCTTATCCCATCACTATCTCCCTCTGTAAGAAGTCGCTTTCCCTCTTTTTTTGAAAAGTACTGAAAATAAGATTAATATGTAGACCTCGAAATGACTGAGCCACAAACCTCTTGCAGTAAATAAATATTTACGCACATAAAAAAGTGAAACCTCAGCAAAACACAGCTTTGCTGCAGGAGGAACAATCACGCCAGTTATTCTGCTATTTATTCCCTGTGTCGCAGAACAGTTACTTGATGCCTCTCCAGGAAAGCCTCTCCTGCTGCAAATTCCCTCATTTCATCCTGATGAGCACAGACAACACCCCTATGAACACTGAACATTAAAAATGATCCTGACAGAGAGAAAAGGGATCAGGAAGATTCTCCTTGACATGATTTGGAAGCCACCAGCTCTAAGCCAAGCACTGGCAGGCAAAAGAAGAGAGAAGTACCTCTGTTCCTGCTTTAAGGAATGGACTTAAGTTTGACAGTGAAGGAAATGGCATCCCATACTTACTTTCAGAACTGTGGAAGCATGAGAAGAAGTGCTGAGCAGTCTCATGGAGGCTTCCATCTCCTGGGGTGGGAGGAAGAAGTTCGGAACAATGACAGGATCAGATCTGAGCAGAGCTGTTAGGGAACAACCTTTGGCAGCGAGTAGTTGCACACAGCTCCAGATGTGCAATAAGCTTGTTAATGGATCCCAGACAGTGAATCTCATTCATTTAAATCAATATTCTATTGTTCTAAATGCTTGGTTCTCTCACAGAGCGTGGAACACCGACCTGATTTACAGCAATACATCACAAATCTGTAGAGCACTTCATCCTGCAAAAATTCCAAGACTGCTTAGTGGAACTGATTGCAAGATTTGGGATCTGTGCAAGAAACGTTGGGAAGTATCTTAAAAGCAAAATAAATCACATCTCTTTTCACACAGAAGAAACACAAGAGCTCTTTTACATGGAGAAAAACAACGTGGGAAAAAATGCAAGAAGACATATTGGAAATACCCAAAATGAAGATCACAAAATATACTGGTTAAAAGCTTCAAGAGAGTTATCACTACACTGTGTGAAACATAAGTAACAGGGTCTTAATTTTCCAGGGAAGAGCTCCACATAGTGAATTTCTCTTTCCCGAGGCCAGGGACACTCTAAGTAAGCAGGAAGACACGCTCTGGGAATGCAAGGAGTGTTTAAGGAAAGAGTAAAAAGGATACGAAGTGATTTTTGGTTTGATGGAGTTTTCTGACCCTTCAAGTGGGTCTTCACTGGCGTCATCAGGAAAACTCTCACTGTTTCTTTCTGAGCCAGCTTGGGTTGATACACTCCTAACACAGTTCTCATCAGAACCACTTCTTTCCTTGTCATGATGCTCTTCATTTAAATCCTCTGCGTTTTCCTCCTCCTCTCTCCTTCTGGTTTTTGGATTGATCAAATCCATGTCTCCTGGGAACGGCAGTAATTCCTTGGAGCCTGTGTGGACCTCAACATTCTTCTTTCTGGGTTCAGAGTTAAATGCTCTGTCCCAGAGGCTCTGTCCAGCAGGCTGAAGAGGCTCCTTCTCTGCTGTTTCCATGCCGCTGTTGAAGCTCTGGAAGCCTTCCGTTGCTTCCCAAGGACTCTTGCCATTCCCACCAGCATGGGGGCTCATGGATGGGCTCAGGGTGGTGAGCTCACTCTGGTTGTCCCCTTGCAGGATGCTGGTGCTGCTGTTTTCCCTTTGGAAACAACCCACATCCATGGAGTGCTGATCTCCAGGCCTGGAGTCCATGGAATGCTGCTCAGCCCCTTGCCCAGTTTCAGAGATCACACTGGACCAGGGACTCATCCTGTCTGTTATGGTTGTTATTTCATTGAGAGTTTGTGGCTCTATAACATCTTCCTCATATTCCTCTTCACTGTGTGGCTGGATGTCAAAAGCACCTTCATCGTCCTGGATATAATCCATTGGATGCTCATCTTCAGGGACAATGGGGTCTAGGAGTTTGTGCAACATGTGTCTCTCAAACACAGGTCTCCCAGAATTGCACGGCTGCTGTGGATCACTGGAAATTCTGGGCGGGTCCAACTCTAGCCGGCCTTGATGGACTTCGAGTCTGGCTCCTTCCTCCTTCCAGCTGGATGCATCCACAGCACCTGGCTTCCTGCTACTGTCTGGATGCACATTAGAAGCTTCTTTGCTATTTTTAGTTATGGTCTGTAAGTCTGGTTAACGAAAAACAGCATCAGTGAACGCATGGAGCAACAATTCAGCTTACAATTGATTTATTTTGCCCTTCTCCAGATAATCCCAATGAAAAAGGCAAATTACTGACTCCGGGGAGACTTTAGAGTCCCTTCCAGTGCCTAAAGGGGCTCCAAGAGAGCTGGAGAGGGACTTTGGACAAGGGCATGGAGTGACAGGACAAGGGGGAATGCCTTCCCATTGTCAGAGGGCAGGGTTAGATGGGATATTGGGAAGAAATTCCTCCCTGTGAGGGTGGTGAGGCCCTGGCACAGGTTGCCCAGAGAAGCTGTGGCTGCCCCATCCCTGGAAGTGTTCAAGGCCAGGTTGGATGGGCCTTGGAGCAACCTGGTCTAGTGGGAGGTGTACCTGCCCATGGCAGGGGGTGGAAGAACTGGATCATCTTTAAGGTCCCTTCCAACCCAAACCTTCTGTGATTCTATAATTCTATGATTCTGTTGTTATTTTGGAGTGGTTAAATCCAGTTTGGACAGTTCACAGCACATGAGAAGGAAAAAGAAATAATCTAGACAGGAAAGGTGGATAGGATAATCTTTCCACCTTTCCATTCCACAGGTTCCCCAGTTTTATGCACACAGTTGTTACTGATATTTTCCAGCTTCCAGTCGAATTTCCCAACTTGGATCAAGCGATAGACAATCATTAATGAAATATTTGTAACACAGGAATTCACTGTTGCTCAGTTGTGGTGGTAAAATTGTCAGGGCTGCAAACAACAGGGCTGTGTTTCCTAACACAGACCCTGGAAAAGGGGATTGGAATTAATTAAATCTATGCAATCCTAAGAATCTCTAGGGATTTTACAAATTCCTTAAAAAGCCACAATCATGGTTTTTTTGGTTCCTAGTGAGCAAATCCTACTCATAGCTTGCAGTGTTACGTAAAATGGGAAACTATTCTGAGGCAAGTCCTGCTCCAAGGGAATGGTGGAGGACATTTGGGAAAGGAGAAGGAAGAGTCTGAGGCAGATTGTAGAGAAGAGCACGTAAAGAAGCAGAAAAACAATTACTAAGGATAAGAAGGGAAATAAAAAGAGCAAAACTTAGAGAATAAAGAGAAAAAATAATAAAAGAGAAGTTTAAGGCGGTGATACAAGAATAGCAAATCCTGGCATAAAAGGGATGTGCCCTTTAACTCTATCTCTTGGAAGGTCTGCTTCCCTGTAGGGAGCCACTGGCAGAAAAAGCATGGAGTAACTTTTCCACTGGCAGCAACTATAGCTCTGAGCTACAGTTTATTCTCTATTCTGATAAATTATTTTAAAAGCATCAGCTTTTAAATTGATTTCCATGTCATTTTGCTACTCACAGCAATAACTTACCATTGATTAGACTGCTGACCTGAGACACCAACTGACTGGATTTTTCCAAAAGATGGCATCCTTTGGGATCCACTTCTCTGCTCATGGAGCCATGATGGTCCCTCTCCTGCTCCTCATGGCTTGGTTTGGATGTGTTGCCGTAACTGAAGTCAGGAAAAGACCTGGTCAGCTTCTGGCTGAAGTATCTTTGAACCTCATCCAGCTCACTCAAGTTTTTTCTGGAAGCAGTGGTAAGAAATTTGGTAAGAATGGGATAAAAAAGCCTGTGGCAAATGGGCTTTAATTTTATCTTTCTAGTCAACAGCATGTAAATATGCAAATACAAGATTAAAGGTTATTGAAAAATAGATCAGTAGGTAAATGCTGAGATTGCTCTAAGTAAGAAGATAACACTCATGAACAAATCCTGAGTTAGCTATGAAACTTAGGCTGGAAGTTAAAAAAAGAGCTAGTTTTAAACTTATTTAATCAAAGCAGTTGGATTTGAGATGACCTTCCAACAAGTCATAAAGTCAAGAATATTAATTGATTTTGTGTCTGAGCTTGATAAAAATCTGAGGATTCCTACCTGCATAAGATCCAAGGATTTTAAGATACATTGCTTGTGGTAGCAGGGGAAGAGATCAAACACCTCAGAAAGTCTCTTTCAGTCCTACAGACTTTAATATTCTTCTAAATTTATACCTGATTTAAACCTAGAATATAGTCAGGAGAAAAGTGCTTCTAGCAAATAGAAATGCATCCTGTTGGGAAAGAATAACCTGCTCCACACACCATAAAAATGCTTACAGGTTATCTTTGTAAACCAGTGTGGTAGTTTGCCCCCTCCCAGGGGGGCAATCTCAAACCATAACAACCAGTTCCGTGGACTGTTGGCTTCATGGCATGTGTCGCGTGACAGGACAGAAAAGTCCAGGCACTCTCTCCTGATTTGGAAACACTGCTAATGCTGTTTCACTCCAGTCCTTCGAAATTGGATCCTTCACTTCCAAGCTCTGCTCTGCAAACCCAAGGCTTGGCATTCCCTTGTAATTTTACCTGAGGGCAGTGAGGAGACCGGCACGCGATGCCGAGTCCAGCCTTGCTGCCCGACGCGTGTTCCCTTCCTGCTGCAGGGATTCATGGAATCTGCGCACATTCTTCATGTGCTCTTCATGACGAGGTGTGTGTGTTCCAGGCGTACTAATCCTGCTAAAAACAGCCCTATGTTTAACACCAAAAACCAGGCTGAAATCTCTAATTGTGAAGAGTCCGCCAACTAAGAATATTCAGTGTCCTGAAATCCTTTAAAGAGCCACAATTAATTCTTTCAAATGTCTATGGGAATGGCATTTACACCAAAATCCAGTTAATGGTGTGGCTGGGAATTTTCCATGCCCACTGATAGCTCCCACGCTAGCTCAGATCCCATAACAGTGGAACCATGATCCCTCTAAACTTCAAAGATACATGTGGAAAAAGGATCATCTCTGTAGGCTAATTAAACAAATCATGAATTAAAACACTCTCTCACTAGTTAAATATATTTGGTGCTTGTTTTAAGGAACAGAAAGCAGGAATTACTGCAGGATATCTGACAGTCTTACTCCTGGAATATGTAATACTACAGCATTTTACCAGCTGTCATTAACTGGTCATAGGCAGAATTTATGGCAAAATAGAGGGGATATATCAGGAATACTCTCTCTTAACTTATTAAAAATAAAAGCAAAGACAGATACAATCAGAGCCTGGAAGAAGAACCTGCCAGTTTTAGCAATGGCATCATGTAAATCCTAATTTACAAGGGTGTAAATGAAAATATCAGCAAGAAGAAAAAGAACACCTGGGTTGTGTCGAAAGGAACCTGTCCCAGAATTGCAATCTCCTGGCTGCCCTCTCACTGGTAAGGGGAATTTCCTCTAGTTTTTAAGAGCAAGACCTTTGACAGGGTTTGCCTTTTTCATCTGAGCCCTGAAAATAATCAAGAAGGTTGATGGTCTGTGGACTCACCACTCTTGGGTAGAAACACTCACTTCCTTTGACAAGGAATTCAGCATCTGCTTGGAAAGGTTTGCAGCATTACCAGGGAATGGTAGAAAGCTTGCCTTCCCCTAGAATGAAGAGGAACACTGTACATGAGTCTTCCACAGCGGGAAAATAAGAGAAATTAAAGTATTATCTTGCTGAACTAACAAAAACTCACATTTTCTAAATAGCTTTACATTTACAGTGGATTTTCCAGCACCGGGCCAAAGTACCATTTTACAACACTCTCATTTCAGACACTTTCGTTAATTCCTCCCATGTATCGAAGAGGAAACTGATGAAAAGTAGGATAGGGGCTTCATTACATGTGTATAACACACCCCAGTGTATGTGGAAAGTCCAGAGAAAAAAGAAAAACCCAGAAGAAATGACAAATCTTCCAGAAAAACAGATTCCTGCCAAATTAGAAATGAAAGGCTGAATTTATGGTATGTTTTTGGCCATCAGCTGCCACCCAAAGCAGCAAACAGAACAGAACAATGGCAGGCTCCCAGACATCCAAACCCACACTGTTTAGATTATTACCCTAAAAAAAATTCCAAACAACAGAGTGAAGCTACTGGGAATGTCCATGACTTGGTCTGAGTGCTGTACCTAGTCCTGGTGTGAAGCTCCCATGGAACCATGGAGCAGAATTCCTAAGGAATTAAGTGTTTCTGATACCTTTACACAGACTGGCCCATGAGAGTGCTGTGAATTTGCTCAGAAACCTGGAGACTCGGTGCTAATTAGGAGGAATCTGATTAAATATCAGAGGGGAGGAAATGGAAGCACGTACGGAAGAACTTTCCGGCTGGGTTCGGGCCCTGGCCTGTCTTTCTTCTTTGAGATAATTTATGTTTTGGAGAGGGGAAATGGCTACTTTAATCTGTCCTCGGCACTGCCCACTGAAATCTGTGATGTTGTACCACCCACACACAAGCTGGAAGCCAGAAAGGAGAGGGGAAAGGTCCACGGATGCAAATCCAATCACTCGCTCCGTCTCTGGAGAAGAAGGATATAAAACACATATTCACTGAAATGAAGCATTTTCAGGAATGCTAAAACACAGTCAGCTATACAGCCCTTATATTATGTCTTGGAAATAGACCCAATTTCCAGAACAACCAATCCTATCCAAGAAGAGGATATTATTTGGTTATCTTATTTAACTAAAAATGTCCCTGCAGAATCAGTGAAAGCCCAGGGAAGGGAGAGGGATTGGCAGGAGTATCACTGTAAACACACATTACTCTGGCTAATACAGAGGAAGGCTGAGGAGGTTTATTTTGGAAGCAAAAATCAGACAGCTGAACTTTAATATTAAAAAAAAGAAATAAAAGTATTTGGTTACAACTGGTTACGCTTCAACCAACTGCAGGGACAACAAACAGCATGTTTGAAGAAAGAGACAGTAAAGAACAGAGTAAAGAGTTTCTTTGACAGAAAGAACACAATAAAGAATTTCCTTCAGTAGGCAAATCTAACCTCTAAAATATTGTCAAAATAAAACCTGAAAGAATACAAACAAACCAAACCTTGTAAGATGATTAATGGGGAGAAGGAGGATGCCAAGGGCTAGGAAATCAGTAGGTATTTATCTTCAGCATTCTTCTCGTGCAAGGTAAAAATGTCATTACAATTCTAGTCTTCGATTTATTTAATTTATTTTCCTTGAATTAAATACAAGTAACCCAAGGAAAGGGATGCAGAGAAGATACTCCTCTCAATACTGTACCACAAACTTTACCTGCTTTGTGCCACACTTTGAAGACCAAGGTTTGCTGTGGATCCAGCAGAAGCTCTTTGGATAATCTGTTAAGAACAAAAATCATAATATTTTATGCAAAACAGGAAAAAGAAGGAATACAGTAAAATGCCTCTGGAGTTTCAATGCCACTGTATCTACCCAGTTTTTTTCTGAACTGACAGTGGCAGGAACAAAACAAACCCCAAAATTATTGAGCCCTCAAAGCATAACTATCTTTACTTGGTTTGAGTTTCTGCTTATTTCCCTCTCCTCACTCTTGCTGCATATTTAAAAAGACGGGACAAAAAACCATGAAGGAACAGAAATATGCTTATTTCACAACTCAAAAACACAGTGACAGCAAAGTACTGAGGTCATGGTTGAAAGCTGTAATGTTTGAGGTTCATTTCTGGAAATAAAATAAACCCAAACTGAAAATTGAACTGTCAAATTGTAGAATAGTTTTTAAGTTGTTTGAAGCAATTCAGGTATTAGAAACGCCAGAAGAGCCACTAGATTGGAAACACAGGTTTATTCCTGAATATGCATGACTTAATCTGCTGAGGTCTAGAGGAAGGTGTCCCTGCCCATGGCAGGGGGTGGAACTGGATGAGTTTTAAGGTCCATTCCAACTCAAACCTGTGATTCCATGACATGTCCTTTTCACACTTGGCCTGGCTCTCAGATCCAGGGTGTTTCTGTGGAGTTCCCATTTCTTACCTGGCTTGTTCCTGGAAGTCCCAGACTGGTGAGTCTGTATTTTCTACTACTGGAGTGGTTATTGGAGCATCTGCACCAGCAACAGCAAATGATACACAGCTACTGGGGGCTGTTACTTCCCGTTCTGTCAAAGGACTTCCTAAAATTACACAGAATTAAATACTAATTTGTTATCAATAGTCATAATAAAAAAAAAATCTAAAGACAGTTCAGCAATTAAAACCAGACAATCAGCAAAGAAATCCACTATCTAGAAAATACTTCTTTTCATTGGTGGAGCCAAAAGCCCTTTATGTTTACAATGGGAGCAAATATTACATGAACATTTACAGAACAGAAACTGGACTATTCAAGGGAGAAATGGAAAAATCATTTGCCCAAGATCATCTGAGAGGTCAGAGGGAAAGCTAGGAATAAAATCCAGGTCCACAGGACCCTATTCCAGTGCTTGAGCTACTCTCCCTGCTGAACCATCTGTTTGACAGTAAAAAGGAACAAAGTTTCTTCTTGAAACCAGCTTATATTTGTTTCGGTGTATCAACTGTCTCTCAATTAGTTACTTCCAAAAATCCCCTAAAATGGTAAATTAAAAGCAGAAATATTGCAATGTTTCTGCAATATTCAGAAGAAACCTCCTTTATCTCATCAGAAACTTTGCAGTAGCAAACAATGTCACATCAGTTTCCCAAAGACTATGAATTCCAGAAGATTCTACAATCATTACAAAAAAATCCATCCGCAGGGCTCAGAATCTTTTGGAATTACACACACTTATATTATGGTTTATATTTGACTTTTAGTTGTGTTCTCAAGGGCAAAAAGCTGAATTTTCAATTCATATCATACTTTCATTCATGCCATATTCATGGTATATCACCTGGAGGGTGAAACAGTGGATCTTAACAGAGATGTTTCCAGCAAACTCATCTGGGATGAGTTCCTTACTCCTATTTGTATTTTGGCCCAAGGTGAAGGGCAGAGCCCCTGATGTGTTTGAAAGAGTTTAACCCATCTTGAACAAAGAGATTCCTTTACAGACCGGGGAAAAGGCTCCATAAACCCATGAATTCCCCAACTGCTGCACATCAAAACCCAAACATCCACTGCCAGGAAGGAATATTTTAATACACTCAGCCTAAATTTCAAAGCAAAGAGCAAAGACAGGAGAGTCTCGGGTTAGTTATTCAGGTAAGGCTTAACTTCAGAATTCAGCTGTCATCTGTAACAGGGAACATAATGTTACTTATATTTTGGATTGTATTCATGGAGACAGGCTGAATAGTTTAATCTCCCACTTTTCCTGTACTTACACAGTGATTGGGGCTGCAAATTCCAAATTTTGCTGGAGTATGAACAGAGGAAAAAAAAAAAGAAAGAAAAAAGAAAGAAAAAAGAAAATAAAAAAGGGGGATGGTGATATTACCTTTTAAACTTAGATGCATTGCTCTTTCTACAAGGATATTGACAGCAACTGTGTTTTCCAGAAACATCACATCTTCTTCCTGTGGTTTGCCATTGGTGATTCCTGGACTTACAATATCCAGCTGCTGATTTTCATGGACCTGCTGGCTCAGATCAGGGGGTTTCCCTGTGCCTTCATCCTCACTGCTGCTGCATTCCTGGGCACAGGGAATTCTGCTGGGCAGAGCAGCAGGAGTGGGAGCGAGGCTGACGTGGACACGCACAGCAGCTCCTGCCAAGTCTGCAGCGTTGCATCTGAACAACGGATACACTCCTGCAGGAGAATCCACAACCAACCAGCTGAACAAACCAAAGGAAACACAGGAGCTTGGGAAACAGCTGGTATAGTTCACTACAGCAAAGATCTCACAGCGGCCCAGCAAAAGGAATTTTGATTTTCAGTGTAATTTCTATGCGAGGTGCCAGAAGGATCAGCTTGGAAACGCTAAAATCCATGACCAATCCCCCAAATTAGGTAAACCTTCGTTTTCCCCCTCGCAGCTCAGATTACTGTTTTAAAACACATCAACTTCCTGAGAGCCCTGGGAATAGTGACTCTGCATAATTGTATATACACCTATGGAGAATACAACACACATCCAGAATAAAAACTTGTTTTAACTCTTGTACCCTCTCCCTTTCCTGAGTGTATTTAAAACAAGAGCCAATGACCTGTCCACAAATCTACCTGGTGGAAGATGGGTACCATAAAGCCATAAACTAAAACACAAGTTCCATCTCAACATGAGGAAGAACTTCTTTCCATGGAGGGTGGCAGAGCACTGGAACAGCTGCCCAGGGAGGGCATGGAGACTCCCTTTCTGGAGACATTCCAAGCCCACCTGGGTTCCTATGTCACCTGCTTAGGTGACCCTGCCTTGGTAGGGGGGTTGGACTGGATGATCTCCAGAGGTCCCTTCCAACCCTGACTATTCTGGGATTCTATGGAGGACAAAGCAAAGCTGTAAACATTTTGCTTAAAGTGACTAGAGAAGGAACCAAATTAAATCACCAATAAGGAGGAATGAACATGACCCTGCTTCAGGAACTCACCACTAACACTTAGTGTTCTCCTTGATCTCTCTGCCAACGCTGCGAGGTCGACATAGGCAGATCCAATCAGACGATCTGTATCAAGTGGTCTTTCCACCTCATCTTCTTTGCCATATGCCCACCACACCTGGATTTCTAATTTCTCCTCCCTGAAGAACCACAGCAGCCCTTGGCTCCTTCTGAGCGTCACCTTGTTTGGCTTCTTAAAGTCCACTGTGACATTCTCTGTGTCGCTGCTCAATTTTGGCCGCCTAAGCCAAGTCCACGTGGCTTCCTGGTTGTACAGCTTATACCTGAGGTAGCAAAAAGTGCTTTTATCGAGGTGTGTCTGGCCTGCCAGCAGCACACAGTGGAGTGGCAGCCACACTCTTGGGGTAGAGATGGTCACAGTCACTGGGTTGGCACTCTGCTCCCAGTCCTTGGTCTCCTCTGTGCTGTCTCCATGGATCTCCTCACTGCTCCATCCCAGGAGTTTAGCAGTTTCCAAAACACGCTCTCTGTCACCCCAATGAGCAAAGGTAACAGAAAGTTCCAGCCCCCCCACAATGGCCTGTGTGACGTTTGTGCAGTGTGGAGGCATCGGATTGTTGGAGAGGGTCACTGGGAACCAGCCTGAAATACCTTCGGGAGGAAAGATCACCATTAGACTCATCCTACCCTTTGGAAAATGTCAGTGAAGAATTCTCACCTCTCTGGCCATCAGTCAAGGACCAGAACTTGAGGTGTTTATTTCTCATTTGGAATTTATGAAATAATTTCTAATCTGAAAAAGCAGCAAACTATTAGACCTCAGAAAATTTCAGTAGTTCCAATCCCAAAGGCACTTTGTTTTCCATTTCATTAACAACATCCATTTTACAATGAAGCTACATACCATGGATCTCCAATTATAAAATTAGGTTTTCTCATTTATTTCCTTCTCTCTTCCCATTAAAAATAACCCCAAAATTTTGTGTCAGAGAAAATGAGAACTGTACTGAACTTAAAGCAGAAATAACCAGGGCAATAGAGAAAACACCATTACTACAAGGCAAAATAATCCCAAACTAACACTAGATAGAGGAGATCATGAGTGGAAAGGTATGTGAATAATTTTTTCACAGATATTTCACAGAATATTCTGAGCTGGAAGGGACCCCCAGGGATCATCGAGATATTTTAGACCTTATTTAAAAAAAACAAACAAACAAGTTAATTCTACTGTTTTCTTATTATCTAACACCTTTGTTTCCAGCTTTGACATCTGAAAAGCAATCACTGATCCTCCACTAAACACTACAACTCTTGGACTTTCCATCTTAAAGGTAGAAAATAAACAAAATAAACAAACTAAATAATATCCTAAGGATTGTAGGTGAGATGTGGTTAAATTTCTTCATAGTAGCCTCAGATTATTCCTTCAGCTACTATTCATCCTACATCCTGAAAAAAGATCTTCAAACAACCTTTATGTGAGTTTTCTAATACAGGATTTTTAGTGAACACATGGTCTGAAAGAACTTTGGTCTAAAAAAACCCCAGGCAAACCACAAAATGGGTTTGATTTTATTTCATTCCAAAAATGGAAATGAAATTTGTTTTAAGAAATTCCAACAGCATTTGAGCATTTGCACAGAATGTCAGCAGTGCAATGCTGCTGCATTACCTGATCTTCTTGTCAGCAGGTCTCTGGTTGGAATTGTGACTGTCCCAAGGAGATAATCTCTCGATGCCCGATCAGCCAATCTGTCAGTGGCTGGAAAAGAAATGATTTTGTAAATATACCATACTGGAACTCAAAATTTAGTACCTCCTTTCAAAGAAAAGCTCTGTTGCCTCAACAGCAAATAGCTCAGCTGTCATCCGGAAAACACTTTTAATCCTTTTAAATGCATTATCTCTTCATCTAAGAAATGATCATGATCACCAGGAGTCTTAAAAACTTTGCACCAGGGGAACATTCTCTCCCAAAGCCAGTTCAGATACTTACATCTAGTAGCACAGAACAGGCCCTGGGAACATTCAAATTCAGGTTGCCCTAGTGGCGGTTGGCCCTGCTCATTGCAGGGGTTTGGACCAGATGGTTTTTGGAAGTTCCAACCCAAACTATTCTATGATTTTATGACTATTCTCTTTTCCATACTAAAAATTAAGGGGATTTCTGCAACAGCATTCAGTCCTTGTTACCACTTGTACTCCTCACCTGACTTGGTGTTCTGATGGTAGATAGAGAAGATGATGATGCCAGACTGCAGGAGTTCCCCCAGACTAGAGGATTCTCCACTGCTTTTCTGAATGATGAGGCTGCAAAGAAACTCTACATGATGCTCAAACTCTGGGCAGAAAGTACAAGCCACGGTTTGTGTGTTTTGTGTCTCTGCCTCAGGCAGGAAGGAGAGGAGCACAGAGACATAAGAATTCACTCCCACACCTGCATAGTACTGGACTGCGGGGTTTTTTTGTGCCACAGCTCTTCATTTAACATGCAAAAAAAAAAAAGAAAAGAATAAATAGAATTAATATAATGTACAAAGAATCTAGGAGTCAACACTATTAAAGCAATTTTTCAAGGCCTCATGGTGAAAAGATGAGACAGAACAGTGAATGTTTAAAGTCCAAATAGATGTGGGTTCTGGTTGCATATTATTTGTCATCTTTTTTTTCATCTGAACAAACTAGGAACAGATAGGAAATGGGAAGAGGAACTATCGCGAGGTCCATCGCTGGGGGCTGTCCTCTTACCTGTCTAAGTGGTTGAGAAATTACTCAGCATCCTTAGAAATACACTGTACTCTAGAATAACTTCCCAAGGAACCTGCTCCAGAAGGGAGCCAAAGGCCAAGCCAAATTATTTTTACAGACTAGCAAAAGGAGGGGAAATCTGCAGATGGAATCATTTACAAGTAAACCAGACTCAGATATTACTGAGGTCATACACCTGAAGGATGAGGAGTCTGAGGTCATCTCCATCACTTCCCTGACTTCGGCAGGGATCCTCATCTTACTTGAATTAAGAATAGATCAGGATTAAGATAGATCAGGAGCTCAGCAATACTGAGAAAGGGTCAGAACATTGCTCTGGAATGAAAGAAGCCATCCTTCTCTTACGGAATTGACTCTAGTGTTAGCTTTTCTCTAATTCTTGAAAATCACATATTGGAACTAAATCCAGGTGATCCTATGCACTTTGAGCAGCAGCCTTATGGTGGAAAGGAACATGTTTCATTTACTAGTTAGTTTACTGAGGTTCTCACAGTGAAATGCAAGAAAACAGAGCTCAGCTAACTTTCAAATATCATCAGTAACACTAAGATCCAATGTCCAAATAGGTACTGTCTTATATCAATTTTATATCAGCCTATGGTGTAGAAAAGTGTGGAAATGTAGGAAATTGTGCCCTTCCAATCCTCATCCCTCACTGGACAAATGCTACCACCCTGTACTGCAGCTTCAGCGGCCAGAATAACCACTGATAGACTTTATAAAGGTAATTTTCCTTCAGAGCAGAACCCACTTTGAATCTTGGTCTCTGCAGATGGAAAGCTGTTCAGTTACAATTTGTTCCAATCTCATGCCTCAGCCTGCTGCCTCCAGATAAAGCTGTTTTAAGTGAAAAATGGTCCTTTTTGAATGAGGCTTTACCTGGCTGCTGCTTGCAAACCTGCTGCTCTGTGTATGTGTACAGAAAGTGAAACAGCTTGAGCAGTTATTCCTGCTTTTTTCATGGATCGTTGGTATCTCACACTCACATCGAGCAAACCTGGATTAAATGGAAGAAAGGAAGGAAAAAAGTGGTCAGTTTTTAATACTGTTACGTCCAATACAATCAATATTTAGCTATACCTCTTGATACAAGCCCTCATATTTGCACTCACTATCAGAGCTTTAAAGTACCCTCCTCAAGCATTTCAACACAACTTTTTATAGCACTGCAGTGACAAAATCTTCCAAGAGATGCTGGAATGAACAGATGTTCTGCTGCTGCACTTGACTCACCTATTACAAAGTAACTGTGGCACAGTGACCTCACCTGTCTGGCCCCAGCTTGTTTTACAGACCTTTTTTCTAAGAAGCTGCCTCATAATTCCTTGTGGCCTTCCCAGAGCTGATGTTTGTGTTATTTGAAAAAGCTACGAGAGAATTTAGAGATGTCTCTGCTCACACCATAAACAGCCCTTCTTCAGATCCCCTTTTCCCCGCCTTACATAGGAAGTTTCACTACAGGCTGTAGCTTGTTTGTCAGGAAAGCATTTTGATACAATTTTTTGGGCATTTGAGGGTTGCCCATGCTTAATCCCTGATTTTTCACTCATTATGGCAACAGTGAAAAGCTGGAAGGAAAACCACTCCTGGTTGGCTTCACTTGCCAACAAAAATACATACTTTTATTTGTCTTGGAAGCAAATAGACTTTATTTTTACACACAGAATCAGAGAATTGGTTAGGTTGGAAAAGACCCATAAGATGATGGAGTCCAACTGTTCCCCCAGCACTGCCAAGGCCACCACTAACCTATGTCACCCAGTGCCACATCCATATGGCTGTTAAATCCCTCCAGGGATGGGGACTCCACCACTGCTCTTGGCAGGACAACTCTTTTGGGGAAGAAATTTTCCCTAATATCCAACCTAAACCTCCTCTGGCACAACTTGAGGCTGTTTCCTCTCATCCTGTCCCTTGTTTCCAGGGAGCAGAGCCTGACCCACACCTGGCTCCACCCTCCCATCAGGGAGTTGGAGAGAGCGAAAGGGTCCCTTCTGAGCCTCCTCTTCTCCAGGCTGAGCCTCTCTCAGCCACTCCTGGTGCTCCAGACCCTTCCCCAGCTCTGTTCCGTCCTCTGGACACGCTCCAGCCCCTCAATGTCCTTCTTGCCATGAGGGGCCCAGAACTGCCTCCAGGACTGGAGATGCCTCAGCAGTGCCCAGCACAGGGGCACCACGTGCCCTTGGCCTCTTGCCCAGCTGGACACACCTGGGCTCATGTTCAGCTGCTGTCACCAGCACCCCCACGTCTTTTTCCAGCTTTCCAGCCACTCTTAGCACTGCATGGAGTTGTCGTGAGCCAAGTGCAAGATGATCTCTCCCATGACCTTCTCCGGCACTGAGGTCAGGCTGACAGGCCTATAATTCCCTGGAACCTCCTTCCAGCCCTTCTTGTACATGGGTGTTACTTTTGCCAACTTCCAGTCAGCTTGGACCTCCCCAATATTCCTGCTGCACAGTGAAATCAAGCTCCTCCTGTTTGCATCCTTCACAGGTGTAGAAGCACTTCAGCTCGGCTGTTGATCTTGACATTTTTGTGGGAGAAGCTCTAATTCTTATGTGACTCTGCTCATGCACTTCTGTGGTTCCTAATACATCCATATCCCTTGTGTCTTTGCACCCACATGGATCTTCATTTCCTGCTTCTCCTGAGGCAGCACAATAAAGGACTTTACTAACACACACTGCCCTAGGCTTCTCTACTAAGCCTGGTTTTACCACATGAAGTGAAAACCCAAAGGCTTCCTTACCTGAAGACCGTGGATGAAATTCCTCTGAGGTATCAGTCCGGGGGACCAATGGAAGATTAAAAGTCTGTATCCCTATTTCTTCCCGATGCTGCATGGTTACCATGGCACAGAGCCGTGACAAAGGCAAGGTCCCTTTTGCCACCAGCTGGTCTCTGACATTTGGGTAATAATACCTGAGAAGACACAAAGAAACAGCATCAACATTTCTCTCACAACTGCACAGAAATCAACTTTAATTTGTGTGTCTTCAAACCCTAATTAGTCTCTCAATAGCTAAAATCTCAAGGAAGTGAATTCCCACGGGAAGAAAGAATCAGTAAGTGCTTAAGTTAATGCTATGAAAGTAATCAAATAATTTCATATGAAAGTAAGTAATGAATAATAATGAAAGGGAGTAGATAATGCTACAAATATATTTTTTCACTGGTTCTAACAGGTCAACAAGCAGAAACTCCAGTAAAAAATTGGCATCCCAAAGAAAAACTAGAGAAGGATCTGGCACCAAATATTCTCCGCTCTCAATTTCCATCAATAAATGAAAATGCTTCTTGAAGAACAGATTTGTGGTATCACTTTGTGAGTGTAAAAAGTTACTCCAAACCTTTTCTTACTGTGTTACATGGCTTCAGATTAATCCTAAAGCGAGTTTTGGCACTTTATCTAATGGACAACTTGCAGTAATTCTCATGTGACTTTGCAAACTTTAAAATGCTTGACTTGTTTACTACAGAATGAACAGATTATTGTGTTTTTCTAAAGCTATTTGTCTTCATGGCTTCTGCTTCCCGCTACTGATACTTAGCTTTGGTTGCCAAAGAAACAATTTGAACTTACAAAATATTTTATATAATTTCTTTTATAGTATTTCTTTTGTAGTAGGAAAATAATCAAACCCAACACAATGAAATTATACTGTCAGGATGCTATTAAGTAAAATGTAGATGTGTCAAGCCTTTAAACATTAATTTTAGATATTGTGCTGACAAAAAAGTGGAAGAAAGTAAACTAAGAACATACACTTTCTAAAGAAATTGTAAAAAGAACAGGGTAATTAGCACTTTTGGGGAGGAAAAAAGGCTTACAGGTTGGAGTTGCAGATATTTATCACCAAATGTTGATGACCTTTTAATTTTTTTCAGTTATTATTAAATAATACTCTGCAATATCCATTCCACAGCTTTTGAATACATCTCTACCTGTATTGCCGTGCCAACTCCAAAGAATAGGATGTTATTCTGTACCTGCACCAGACTTCAAACTGGATTCCTCCTCCAGCCATTCCTGGGGCCATAAATACACCGACCAGGAGCCTCTGGACTGGGACATCAGCAGGAACCACCAGGGAATGATGATGCTCATCATTAAAGACGGGATCAGGGACACACAAAGTGGTTGCTGTTCGAAATGGCTTCAATTTGATGCCTAAAAAATAAGCAGTGTTGGTTAAAAATGGTGGCATTTGGGGGTTTCAAACTTTTCCTACTTGCAATCCTTCAGGAGGCAGGACCCAAGCAATCCATGCAGCACCATGATCTGTGAGCCACAGGCTGAGAACTACTGCTAAATGTGGCTGAAAGCTGACAAATTCCACAGGATTTGCTATGGAACAATGCTACTGACTGTCATTTTCAGTGGGATTACATGTTAGTGATCCAAAGCCCTCAAATCAACCCTACGTTCTTTTCTACAACTGCAATTACTTAAACACTCTTTTATAATCTGAAAAATGGTGGGTTTAGATGGGATATTGGGAAGAAATTCTTCCCTGTGAAGGTGGGGAGGCCCTGGCACTGGTTGCCCAGAGAAGCTGTGTCTGCCCCATCCCTGGAAGTGATCAATGCCAGATTGGAGCAACCCGTTCTAGTGGAAGGTGTCCCTCCCCATGGCAAGGGGGTGGAATTGGTTGATCTTTACATTGCCTTCCAACTCAAGCCATTCCATGACAATCCTAATGATCTAAACCAAGCAAGTCTTCTCTTGGTGTATCCATGAAAATCATAGAATCACTAAGGTTGAAAAAACCCACTAAGGTCATCAAGTCCAGCCACTAACTCAGCACTGCCAAGGCCATCACTAAATCATGTCTTCAAGTGCCACACTCAGGTGTTTTTGAACATTTCCAGGGATGTTGATTCCACCACTGCCCCGAGCTTTTAATTCGGTGAGACAGTCCAAGTACAGCTTACAAGGAAAACAAGCACTGGCTGCATGAATGCTCAGAAAAACACCCCCCCTCTTCCCCAGGCAGAGAGAACATGACTAAACAATATTCAATTAAAGCAATGCAATAAGGAGGAACTACAGACCAAATTTACCATCCTCATGCAATCCAGAGCCTTGCAGTGCAGCACAACCAGCCTCCTGAACTGGGAAATGGTACTGGACGTAGCAGTCGGCCTCTCCCCAGACCGTGGACTGCAAGGGAGTGAGTCCTTTCACACTCTCCACGTGGATCTCAAACACGTGTTCCATCAGGTCTTCCCCTTCTGGGTCTATCTGCTAACAAAACAAAGGGAATCCACATGGAAAGGATGATCCTCTAGGAAAACTGAGAACATTTCAACAGGCTGCCCTGTTGAAGCAAGTGGTTGAGTCATCCCTGGAGGGATTTAAAAGATGTGTAGATGTGGCACTTGGGGATATGGGTTAGTGGTGGCCTTGGCAATGCTGGGGGATGGTTGGACTTGATGATCTTAGAGGGCTTTTCCAACCTAAATAATTATGTATGATGAGAATCTAAGAAGCCTGAGATGGGGGACAGAGCCATTATCTGCCATTTTCCTCCTCAGGGTCACAGAAACATTGAAAGCCTGAGAACACTTTTTTTCCTGCAAAACCCAAAACTCAGCACGTAAAAGTTCTTACACATCCAACTCAAAGGTAGTGGCAAAACCTCCACAATGAGGCTGTGAGAATAATGATTTTCTAAAATTTGTTTTTTTTTTTAACTGCACTTATACAGATAGAAGCAGTGGATATGCAAGGAAACAAAAAGGGCAATAATGTCAAGACTGGTGAGAGCCAGTTGGTAAGAAAAGAGTATAAACAATATAATTCTGTGTGGAATGTGATCATTTATGACGGAACAACATCAAATAGAGACTGGGGGCCACTCATCTGTTAATGAACCTACTGGTAAAACGCTTTTCACACGTCTCTAACATCAAGAATGAGAATTTACTGAACAATTAATAAAAAGGGATTTACTGAACAATAAATACCGTTGTGGGTTTTGTAGGAGGAGGGTCCAGAGAGTGGGAAGGACGTTGTGGGACAGAAGGTAACACTCCTTCTCCATTCTTTAACCTTTGCAGTGCCACTATTTGATCAGCTGATCCCATCGCCAAGATGACTCTGAGGCTTCCGCTTGTGCTGCCAGTAAAAACATCAACCACAGGCATGTAACTGTCCACAGCAACCACTGGGTACTGAGCCTGGAGGAGCAGGTGGGAAATCTTTGGGTCTCTACAAAGCATTAAAACAAAAACAGAACAAAAAAAAAAAAAGAGCCGTTTGAGTAGGAACAGGATCACATGAAGCTCATCTTAGTTGGGATTTTCAACACCACTAAAAACAATCTATCTCCATTCCTCCAAAATTTGTTTCACACAGCACAGATCCATGAGCTGCTGACTGAAAAATGTTATTTTCAGCAATGAAAAAGCACAACTTTCCAAAAACTAACACAGCCTCACCTATGAGTCAGTCTAGAGATCCATGATTAGATGGAAGAAGACTTCCATTTGTTAATGGGAGTAGCCATATTATACTTTTATGAGGTAGTTACATGCCTTTATGTATGGACTTGGGCCATATGAAAAGAAGGAACAGGAACTGTTCTCCCAGAAAAAAATCTCCTAGAAAAAATGTAAAAATCTCTAATAACACACTGAAGATATTCAAGGTCAGGTTGGATGGAGCTTGGAGCAACCTTGTCTAGTGGAAGGTGCCCCTGCCCATGGCAAGGGATGGAACTGGATGAGCTTTAAGGTCCCTTCCAACCCAAACCACTCTGGGATTGTAAGATATACACAAGTAAAATACAGTGGATTACTGAAAAAACTACACAAATGACACAGTAATAACTAACAAAGTTGTGTCCAGCCAGTACCAGCACCATCTGATTTACACTCACCACTAAATCTGACCAAAATAAAAGGAATTAATCCTTTGTGTCAGAAAGAATCTCTTCTGTCCAGTATTTCCATTAATTTTAACTGTGTTAAGCAGGTATATTTATTGACTGAACAAGAAGCCAAAAGATTAAACCCAAAAAGAACAAAGAACTCGTACTTCTGGACAAGGACAGTGTAACTTACTCATACAGTGCTCACTATAGGAAGTTTACCAGGGCAAAAATGCCTTTTGCTATAAAAAGTGTCATTAAGAACCCTCCCACGCAACCCTCAGATACTATCCATGACTTCTTTCCCTCAGCATCAGTGAGGATATTTCCCAACCCAATAAAATATGGAAAAAAAAAAAAAGATGTTTACTTGAATGAGATGTAAAACTGATGCAGAGGAAGTTTCACTAATCCCAGCAGTCTGTCACAGCCAGTGCTTCCCAGCTTGTTCCAGGCTTCAATAATCATGACATTGTCTTTCAGCCTCTCCAAACGTTTGGAACTCAGTGGAAAAGGCATCACCTGGAAGGGTTTAAGACAGAATTAGCATTCAGAATAAACTGGAAAATATTGGCTAAGTCAGGAGCATTCTGGTAACACTACATTATTCCAGTCTACAGAATTGTGCTTTTCAGAGGTGGAAATTAAAAATTAAATGTGCATTTGCCTAATGAAATTCAGAAAACTGGTAGCCTTGGAAAAGAGCTAGCCAGGAAAATAAATAATGGAATGGTTTGGGCTGGAAGGGACCTTAAAGGTCATCTAGTTCCACCCACATAGCAGGGACACCTTCCACTAGACCATGTTGATCCAAGCCCTGTCTGACCTGGCCTCGGACACTTACAGGAATGGAATATCCAATTTAGATAAAGTTTATCACAAGATCATGTGTAATGTTAAAAAACTTTGCTTTACTTTCAAATGCCTCTTTACTAAACAACACATAAATCATTTCACACAACTGTTTCAGATGTATTTTGCTCTGTTTTTACATTTCTTTCAGCTGAAGAGTGTCACAAATTGCTATAGTTAAAACAAATGCGTTTGAGCATCTTGACTTTTCCAAAGGAAAATATCAATAAAAATTACAAAGTCATAACATTACTGAATGCCTGAAATTCTGCTGGTTGCTGGGGGACAGCTCTGGCTCATGTTAGGCCAGTAAGCCACTGATATGTTCACTGAGAAGAACACAGTGCAACACACAGAAAAATTCTACATCTCCATATTAGAATGTCACCATCAACATGTTTTCTTTCTGAAATAAAAAAAAGTCAATTTTTTTCATTTTTAACCTAAACTTTTCTGACTCTTTCTCCTTCATACTTCAAAGGCCTCATTTATTATTTAGATGATTCAAGGAACTGCATTTCAAACTGCAACCCAGTCAAAACAATACTGAAAATACTTTCTGATATATTGAACAGAGTCCAGCAGAGATATTCCTACATACATAAAAGTAATTTATCTATGAAATGTGTTTGTCAGTGTGGAATCATCAGTGTGAAATGGAAAATGTGTGACTTGCCTGACAAAAATTGAAGGCAGGTTGTGTTGAGCCCCACACGACAGCGGATCTCGTTGCCCCCTCAGTGCTGAGCAGTTTGCAGTTTAAATACACATTGCAAGAACTGGGGAGCCCCTTGTCTCCAGCAACAAAATCCTTCCCATCAGGCACCATCAGTAGCACATGCAGCAATAACCCATCTTCCTCAGATGGGGTTATCTGGGTCAGCACATCCTGGGCCACGACTTTCCTGCTGCCCACTCCTCCCTTCTGGAAATCTTCAGAGCTTGTTCTCAAGCAGTGAGGGCCTTCTGCATTTGCACTCATCCTGTTGGACTCCTGGAATTCCAGCTGGGGACTTCTCACAGCATGAGCTAGGACTCGATGCCCAGCAGGAGCTGACCTGGCAGCTGTGCAGGTGAAGTCCTTGTTGTCGGCTGCAAGCTCTAAGAATCCCTGCAAGGTAAGGCCAAGTGGGCTGGTCGGGTGTGCCCCATCCCAAAGCAAGGGACTGCAACAGAAACTATGGAAAATATATCTCATGCTTTGCTCAAGAGCTGTGTTGTCTCACCCTAAGGCATGTGCTGGTTACAAGCTACAGCTGTTGCTGCAAAATAAACGTGTGGTTTTATTAAATAAAGCCCAAACTGGAGTTCAAAACCACACAATTACAGATGATTCAGAGAATGGTTTGGGTTGGAAGGGACCTTAAAGCTCATCCAGTTCCACCCCCTGCCATGGGCGGGGACACCTTCTAGTAGACCAGGTACCTCCAAGCTCTGTCCAATGCGGCCTTGAACGCTTCTAGGGATGGGGCAGCCACAGCTTCCCTGGGCAACCAGTGCCAGGGCCTCCCCACCCTCACAGGGAAGAATTCCCTCCTAATATCCAATCTAAACCTACTCTATTTCAATTTGAAACCATTCCCCCTTGCCCTGTCACTCCAGGCCCTTGTAAATAGTCTCTCTCCACATTTCTTTCAGGTACTGGAAGGCCACAAAGACCCCAAAGCCTTCTCCTTTCCAGTATGAACAATCTGGAAACAATTCTCTCAGCCTTTCCTCACAGGAGGTGCTCCATCCCTCTAATCATCTTGGTGACCCTTCTCTGAATAAAGTAAAAAATTAAACCAATCCCAAGCCCAAAGCTGGCTGAAAATGAACTCCTACCCAGCCAAGGTGAAAAGAACTGTGAGGAAGTATCACAACTGTCACTTGCTCCACTTTGCTACAGCACATGCTGCTTGAGAGAAATTAGGAAAAATAAGTGTTTCTAAATGTTTTCTGTCACTGCTCTTTCACTTTTATGTTGCCTGCTGATTTTAGCTATTTGCAAGTGTTAATTGCTACAGAGCACCATAGATTTGCTGGATGCATTCAGGTGACAAGGCAGCAAGGAGAGGAATAAACTGAAGTCCAGAAGATAAAGTAACAGAATAAAGAAAAGGATTTGAGCCACAAAATGACCAAATAAGGAAAACAAAATAATCAGGTATTTCACTGTGCACCTGAAACCCAGGAGACAGGGCAACCAAAATCAGTTTTCTTGAAGTATTAACTTCCCCTTCGCTAAGTTCTTGCATTGAACTTTGGTTCATTAATTCCCTACAACATCATCTTCCACTTTTCATCTCTCACACGCTGTTGCACTCCATTCTCTCCCTGAATAAACACACCATTTCTCCTCCCTGCCTTCAACACTTCCCACACCTAACCCTACTTTCTTAAACCTTCAGCTGCTAATCTAGAGAGCTCTTTATCTTCACAACTGGCAAATCTGCTGTGCAGGAGTTTTACTCCTCAATGAGGAGCTGAGCAGAAACTTTGGCTGGAGAAAATAACTCCTGAAGTGACAAGGTGGTACCAAGGACAGGGAACACCAGGCTCCACATCAGCTCCTGCCACATGTGAAGCAGAAGGCAAAGCTCCCAGCCCTGTATATGTGCCCCTCAAAATTTGCCTGTGGAGTGGTTTCTGTATCCAAACCCCACCTTATTGACAACATCCTTAGACATGCAGGAGGTTCAAAATATTTCTCCAAACTCTCAAGGAACAAAAAAAGTTCATATTATCTTGTATTGGTCTAACAAACCTTCATATCCAAGACCCAGCAAATTAAAACAAAGAGAGAAAACACAGGAGGGAAAAAAAGGAGTGTGCAGCCAAAATTAGTAGTGAGAGGTTGTTTAACAAACTCGAGATGGTAAAACACATACCGTAAGTGGTCCAACTTGCGGGTGATCTCCCTCTTTTTCCACAGGTATTTCCCAGCTGACACTGAGCAGCTTGGCTTGGATGACCCTGCGGAGCTGAAGCACTGCTGAGCCAATGGCCACGGGCTGAGGACAGGCAAAGAATCAATTTTGCAAGATTTGTCAGGTTTAAAGGACTTCTGTGAAACAAAAGCTTTCTGGGAAGCCATGGGCAGCCACACAGACTCCTCACTCCTACAACATTAGTAGTACCAACAGGGATTTGGAAAATTTCCCCTAGTTCCAATTACTAGAACAACAGTAAGACAACTTCTCCCAGAATCTACTGTAAAGAATTCCAGATTAAGGCAAAAAATTACCATCCCAAATCCTAGTAACTGAGCAAAATTTCCATACTTAAAGATGCAATTTATTCACCTGTTAAAAGAAAAGCACATATCCTCAGTGCTGATTAAAATGCAACATAAGCTGAGTTAACCCCTCTCCCCTTTTCATCACAGGTAGATGATTATAAAAATAATCTTAGTAAACAGAAATGCACTTTTTCCTCCTAAATGCACAAGTTACATCAGTTTTTCACAACTCATGTTATTCCTCTTAACCTGGACAGGATAAAGATACAAACTGCATCCACAGGAATGAGCTGTGTTCTCACTGAAGAACAATGTTTATAATTGATCCAATGTTTTTAAAAACAAGAGATCAGTTTTAAAGATGAGGGAAGGACAATTTTTTTTTGCCTGTCGGTTTCGAACTCAGAAAATCCTTGAATGGAGTGACAGAGAGTGACAAGCCTGGAACAAGCTTTCCCAGGGAAGTGGTCACTTCCAAGCCTGACAGAGCTCAAGGAGTGTTTGGACAGCACTTTCAGGCACAGGATGGGATTTCGGAGTCCAGGAGTTGGGACTTAGATCCTAGTGGTCCCTTCCCACTCAGGATATTCCGGAATTCCATGATGATAGAACAGCAATCAGTTCAACTTATATTATCTGCACATAATGGCACTTCCCTTCTTAATATCTGGTTGTCTGCATTAAGTGTGTGTGGGAAATAAAAATGCCAGGAATTCTTTGTTTTTCAAGACACAAAATAGAAACAACAACTAATCAATACCTTTTTCTGGGTGCTTTTCCTCATGTAGATTTTAAAAGCAAGGTCAGAGTCCCACCAGTGCTCTATCATTGTTCCACCAAAACGGACAGGGAACACAGACCGCTGTTGGAATTTCACCCCTGGAAGATAGGAGCAACAAATATTCCAAATTAACTGAATATAAATAAACTTCCCCCTGGAGATCACTCTGTTACACACACAACCATTTAATTTTGCATAATTTATTAACACCAAGGTCAAAGTAAACTGTTTTTCATTTTCCAAGGCCCGAAAAGAACAGGAGGACAAAATTAAGATTATAATTAAGATTATAACAGCATTTAAAGGCTGCAGTTGACACCAAGTCTCTGTCATCTGTATACAATAAGTCTTGCCCTTTTTTCAGTGGGAGAACTCTGTATTATTTTGAGTTATATAGTCCAAAGTATTCATTGAGAGAGTCAAAGCTGAGCTGCAAGAAAAATCACAGCTTCAGGAGAAAAGGAACATCTGCAAGAAAATACGGAATGAAAGTCTGCAAAAAGAGTACAAGAAGCACAATAACAGTGTTCAAGTACTATTTTTCACTTGTTCACAATGGATAAAGAAGTACTCTTGTCATGACAAAAATGCAGATTAGACATCAGGAAACTTTCTCAATACAGCTTGTCTGGGACGGCTCTGGAATTTTTCTATTGGGCATCTTTAATAAGTGAGTAAACAGCTCTCAGGAAGGATAATGAAGTGGATTGTCTTGATGTCTTCTCCAAATTATTTTCAGCACGATCTGTTTTTCTAGGCTCCAAAGAGCTGGACTCCACACCAGGCAAAGGGCAGGAGGATGGGGGATGAGTTTGAGGTTCAGAAGAAACAGATGTTTTGTCTGGCCACAAATGGAGAATATACAAGAGAACTCAGAATCTCTCGAGTGCCACTCAGAAAGATGCAAAGTCAATGAATGACCATATTGGAGAGGCATTTGAAGGTCACTCTGGAATTCTAGTTTGTGGGAAGACAGCATTGCTTCTAAAGCATTCTCTGCTCAGGGGAAAGAGACAGGAATTGTTTTTGGAGATACAAACACTGGTGACTCTCAGAAAAGTGAGATGTCTGATTTGAGCACAGAACTCAGGATCCCTTGGATCCAACAGATTATCTGAGCTCTTGGAGATATTACATGACATCATCTGGAGAACTTTATTTGAGGTATAGGCATCTCTGATATTTCTAAAAGTAATTTATCTTCCTCTTATTATGGCAGAAAGGATATTTGCTTTATGTTGAAATGAAGGAATGGGATTATTGACTTGCTGTTCTTTCCCTAAGAAAAAATTTGAAAATCCCAATAGCAATACTTTTTGAAGAAAAAAAATAATTCAAAAATCACTTGGGTTCCCTCTCCCTGAGAGGACCATTCCACCACCTGCAGCACGGCAACTCTACACTAATCATGCTAATCATGACTTTCAGGCAGCAAAAGAAATAGAAAACACAACTAAATAATTTCTAAGAGATGAAAGAGTCAACAAAACTAAATATAAGGGGAAAAAATAATGCCCTTACCATCATCTATGATTTTACTTGAAGCTACTCGAATTACTTCTGTTTTTATGGAGACCTGTCCCTTATTATCCTTGGAGACTCCCATGGGAAAGTGGTACTCCACAAAGAAAGTGCTGTGAATAAAAAAATGAATGGATGATCACAATCTATCAAAAATCAAATTAAAAAAATAATTTAAAAAATAAAATCCATCAAATAATGTAATCCATCAAAATGTAATAAAAGTGAACAAAGCAGGCAAGTTTCATGTTCACACAGCCACTCTTTTTTTAGGATAACTGAACCATCTATTTCCTGATTTTTTTCCATATTACAGATTCTCCACCAATACAACCTCCTGTTTTCAGTGTACATTTGGACCTCCCCAAAGCCCCTGGAAAAGCACAGCCTGAAGTGAGGCCACATCAGAATAAATTAGTCACATCTTTAACAAGTTTACAGGATACAATTTCCTGAGAGAAACAGAGAAATAGGAAGACCTCGGAAGCCTGGAGAACTCAGGGAAGCTGGACAACTCAACAAACCTCAGGGAAAACTACGTTAAAGGCACAGGAAACAAACTTGGAAGACACAATCTCTCTCACCACTTATTGACAGATGCAGGTCGTGGAGGCTTTCCCATTAAATCTTTCTTCCTCTGGTAAATCTGGATGCTCTTAAGAGGGATTTTCAGTCTGTCAATGATGACTCTGGCCAGATGTATTTGCTGCAGAAATGCCAACCTGTCTGAATCCAACGATGTGATGCGAGCTGCTTCCCTGTGATCTTCTGGAGGAGCAGTAGGAGAGCAGCTGGAGAGAGGAAAATGAGACTCAGGATACAGAAACATCTTTAACATGACCACATGAAGGGAAAACTGTAGCTTGGTGGGATGTTATTTTAAAAATGTATGTTTCAAATGCATTTTTACAACAAATTTGGTACTCTCTGTAACAGAAATGTTACCATACCCAGGGTACATAACTGAAAAAAATCAACCCAGAAAGTGCATGTTCCACACTGTTGATTTGGAAAAATCTTGTGTTAACTCTTCAAAAAGAAAAGCTTTATTCAATGTCATGTACAAAACTGGGGAGATGACACAGTTATACACAAGAACAAGTCTCTGCTGCAGAGGAACAGCGCCAGGATTTTAGTCATAATTTAGAATCTCAGTTGTGTAACTTGTAAGACACGTAAATGGTTTTGGGTTGGTATCTCTGGAGACATGAAGTTGACCTGACTGTAAAAATAGCAGTATTTGCAAGAAAAAAATTCATAAGTAATTGTTTGGAGCTGAATTATTAAAAAAATGAGCCATACACCTTAATACTAATTGTATTATACAAATGAAACTTGATTTTTAGGGACACTTTTATTGGTTCTGTCATGCAAAAAAGGGAATACAATTAGATGACGTCAGAACAGAAGGCACTAATGTAACTATTTACCTGGGTTTAATTTCTATCACATTCTGATCAAAGGCATTAAAATCTTTCTGTGGATTTGCTGGATTAGCTTTCCTAAGAGTTTCTGTCTTCAATGCTTTGTTTGAGGATTTAACATCATCATCACTGAGGGAATCACTTAAACTGGAATCAGATTTCTGAAACAGAAATAAGGCACAGAAATAAGAAGTTATTTAGCATCGTCTGGAGAGATATATAATAGCCATGATACATACGTTAAAAAGAAAACCAACTTGAGGACTGCTTAACTTGAAACAATTGAAATGGTATCAAAATTTTTCAGCAGTTTAAAAAAAAAAAAAAAGTCTTCCTGGACAATTCTTCCTGAGGAATTTCCAAACTCGGTGCTTGACTCTGTAGTCTTGACAGTATTCTTTTAAAAATGCTAATTTTAAGCAAAGTACTCATGTACTCACAAGCCTTTGTATGATACCTAATGTTTATCCAGACTTAAAATCCTGAAATCTGCTGAATTTTTGATTATGCAAACTTCTGGTTTTCTTCCCATCAGGGAATGCACATTTTCCTTTGGATCTCCACTTACAGGAGTTGTGTAAAAAAGTCTCTCCAGCAGACTCTGGTCATAATGGGGATCCCCCAGTTCACTGTCATACACCTCACTCCCAAGAGAGAGGGAATCCCAAAGGGATCCTGTGCGATCCCACAAAGGCCCCGGAGAGAAATCAGCACTGTGGGTAAAAGAGAGAGAAACATAGCTTAGTTTTCCAGCTCTGGAGATATTTTCTAAGGAATCTGGACAATACCGCCTCTTTTATACCAGATGGAGCCAGTCTGTGACCCAACCTGAAGGGTTATCCTGTAGTAACATCTCTGGATCCAACAGGAAAAAACTGTGTGTGAATTGCAGGTTGGAAGAGATCCCTGGAGATCATCTAGTCCAACCCCTGCTCAAAGGGAAATGACACAAATAAAAATCATCCCATTGGATTTTGAATATCTCCCAAGCTGCAGGTTCCACAACCTCTGTGGGTAACTGACTCCAGCCCTTGGTGACTTTCATAATAAAATATATCTATTAATATCTAATTTATTAATCTAATTTTTATCCTTAACTGCTTTATAACTTTTGGTTTAAGGTACCAGTAATACTTGAGGACAGTTTATTTAGATTAAAAAAACCTAACAAACTATATCTGAGCAGGTAAATCCAAGTATTTTTCGAACATGGTTGGAACAAACTGGGGTTTGTTTGGTTCAAAAGGTTTTCTCTGTGCTGTGAGTTCAAAATCATTTTATGATCTGCAAACATTCCAGTGTTATCCAGTGATAAACCACAGGGAAAAAATAAGTGCAGGGCACAAGATACACAAACTGAAGTTCCGAATATCTGACCCAGAAACTGTGTTGTTCAGGATGCTTCACGCCCCTGATTTGGGCACAATGGAAGCATCGTTTATTCTACTGCTACACAAAATGAGAGAAAAATGTTACTTTAATATTTGGAGGAAGTTGAAAAATAACTATTGGTTCTCTGTAGTTTTAATTTACTGTTTCTTCTTCAAAGAAATGCTGTATTTGTTTTACATACTTAGTAACATTTTAGGATACAACAGTAACAACCATTGAAAAATTTAGTTTTATCAAGGATTTTGATTAATTTTTCTTTTAAATCAACATGACTTGAAGCTTTCTAGGCTGTCCTGCATTAAAGCTGAGGCATAAAACACCTCCATCACTTGCACATTGGTTACATTCCCAAAAATGTGGAGAACTTGAGGAGTCAAGACATATTTTTTAGTATAAAATGGTCAAAAAAGGATAACTTTGCAGTAATAACCCCCAGTGCATCACACTCACCTGCCCAGCAGTAACTGGATTGCTCTTTCTTCAGAGTTTAGATCAAATTGCTGCTCTGAAACTTCAGATTCAAAGTGATGGAAATCTTCAGGAGGGAGCACCAAACTGGACTTCAAGCCTTTGGGGCTCCTGGATAACAGTGATGGAAGCACAGAGGGTAAAAGGAAAAATAAAAATATTAAACAGTAAAAGGAATTCAAGATCAACCCATTAATCCATTAATTGGTCTTTCAATTTTTCCTGCAGAGTCCAAAATCATCTACTTTAAACAAATAGTATTAGTTTGAGCAGAAATAATTTAAATTGTGTTTGCAACAGCATCACTGACTGTCAAAGATAATGACATTACTTTCTGGTTATCACAAAACAACAGGAAATATTTGTATTTTTCCAGAAATAAAACAAGGAAATGAAGTTTCTCCTATTTAAAAAAATAAGCATTTGTTTTAATACTTTTAAATATCATTGAACTGAGAATATTTATTAAGTCTAATGCTAAACAAAGGTGGAGTTAGAAGTTGAAAAGGCACCAACACTTTTTTTTTCCAATTTGCTAAGAAAAATCTTGTGGAAGAAGATAATGACTAATAATTTTGAGAACATAGTTATATAGATGCAAATTTTCATGGGAATGTTGACATCAGGAGATACAAATTAGAATATATAACAAAACATATAAAAATAATATATACTATTTATATATATTATTTTTCATAATTGTATAGTTTATTATTTTATATTATTATTGTGTATTATTTTATAATATATAGAATAAAATATATAATAAAAAGTATCCAATTTACTTATTTGAAAACCTGTTCTTTGTGATGAAGTAACCATTTCACTTGCAATTCCTTACACCACTCTTATTCTTTACCAACACTTAATATTTCCTTATCAATTTCCTCATCATTAATATTTCCTTATCAATATTTAATATTTCTTATCAATATTTCCTTATCAACTAAATACAAATATACCACAAAACAAAATTAAAATCAATTACTTAAATCAAGGTTTACTACTTCAAGATTAAAATAAATTCACAAAATTTAGGCTTTATTCACAGGTAGAATTTAATTTTCCATTTGAATGAGAATCCTAAAACGCATCCCACGAATATGGGTATTTCAAGTTTTCCTGATAAGGCCTCAAAATGTATAGTTTGGAACTTAAATCTCACCTCCCCCATTCCAAGCTCACCTTGTTAATGCTTTAAAATCCTCTCTCTCCATAAGTGGAACCACTTTATTCAGTTCAATCTCCATGTCAGGGCTGGATTTCATTGCAGAGACAACCATGGCATCCCGGAGTTTCCTGCCCTGATCCAAGAGAGCTGGGAAACAAGCAGAAAGATTTATATTTCAGCATTCAAATGCGATTTAAAAGCAATACATAAACACAATAAATGTGTCAATGACAGTCAAGAAACTTCTGTTTTCTGCTGTTATAAAAAGATCTTAATACACTGGGGACTAAACATGTCTTATACACCAAAAAACAGCTCAGTGAGAGTGATCCTGCATCAGTTTCCCACTCAGAGCTGTAAAAACCACTCACCCACACACACCAAGTTGGGCATTGGAAAGGCATTATTAGGATATAAAAGCAAAACTAATTTAGGGAAGACTAGTTTGTAACCTTACGATGTCTGATTTTAGGTCTTTTCTGTGAATATGAAGCTCAAAACACAGCATATATGGAAATGTGTCCTACTCTGATGCTCATTTCAATCCAGTCCAGGCAGCCTGTGGTCTAAAAAGGATGGAAATAGTTTTCCACCCGAAAATACCAACAGAATAGGAACCCTCCCAAGACCCCCCTGAACAGGAGCAGCAGTTCTGACAGTCACTTCAAAAGACATCTCAAAGACTAAAAGCCTGTGAAGCTGAGCTTCTTTTTCTTTTACTCCTCCAGGCCCAGGAATCCTGCTGGGCCACCGTGTTTTCCCTGAGCCGGATACTGCAGTCACCTTCCAACAAGACTAAATCAGCAGTTTTTAAGTAAAGTAAAAAAATATAAAAATTATCTTTGACATACTACAGTGAGAGGGTGCAAAAAGGATCCCTTTTCCTTCAGAAAATCTCAGCTCTGGAGAAGCACTGGAAACATTATCAAGAGCTGTTTGTTGTGAACCTCAAAGACAATGCCAGTTGCACACAAACCTGACAGCAGGTCTTTTGTAGCTGGGTTGCTCGTGGAGAGCATCCGTGTGTTCATTCCAGTATTGGTGCTGGGGGGAAACAACAGGGAAGGATTTGAAGGATTCATTTTCCAAGGCTCATCTGGTAAACTCCCAGGGTGATAAGAAGCAGGAGAAGTGTCCTTTATGTTTTCAGAGTTCTCTTGGAAGAGCAAATGGTCCTTTCCTCTACTGAAAAATGAAATGTTACTTCAGTAACAACTCAAGTGGGTGGGTAAAGAGATTCCAAACTCTTCAAATGCTCCAAAAAGAAATGTGATGTTATGTTCATGAGTTCTCATCTGCCACTTAGACCATGAGAGGTACAATTCAAGCTGCAAGTAAAAGACTTACATCTTTTTAAAAGATCTTTTTACAAGAGCATGTCGTGACAGGACAAGGGGGAATGGATTCAAACTGAGATCAGGTTTAGATTAGATATTAGGAGATAATTCTTCCCTATGAGGGTGGGGAGGCCCTGGCACAGGTTGCCCAGAGAAGCTGTGGCTGCCCTGTCCCTGGAAGTGTTCAAGGCCAGGTTAGACAGGGCTTGGAGCAACCTGGTCTAGTGGAAGGTGCCCCTGCCCATGGCAGGGGGTGGAACTGGATGATCTTTAAGGTCCCTTCCATTCTGTGATTTGTTGCACCTCTTGTGTGAACCAGCATGGCTTGAACTAAGTCAACATAGGATGCAAATTTCTGCCAGATGACAAACTGTCCCTGTAAGCTCAGAAACCTTCAACACTCTGGATTTCATGTAACATACACACTCAAAAAGATTAAGCATTCCATAACTCACAAGTGTATAGTTATCACAAAAAAACCTGTGTGAACTGCAAAATAAACCAGAACTTTGCCATGGCAGAAAAAAAAAAGAGTACCTGGGGCTTGTGGCTTTGCTGTTGTCAACAGACTCTGGGTCAGCAACAGCCACCTGCGTGTGCCTGGGCTGCGGGGACTTGCTGCTTCCTTGAGCAGGAGCAGGGTCCAAACTTCCCTCTGTGGTGGTGCTTGTGTCATACACTTCTGGCAGAGGTTCTAGAACCAGCGAGACCTGAAAGACAGAAGGTGAAAATATTACTTTGTTCTTTTCTTAGCTAAGTGCAGCACATACTGTATTCAACTTTACTTGTCATGCCATGAAAAACTGTTGCTCTTCCACAGGAAGTAATATTTACATTTTGCATAACTCTGACACGATTTACAAGTACTTGTTTCCCACTCCATGTTTTCCAATCTCAGACAATTGTCTTTCAGCATCAATTTTCCCGAGCCAGGGCTGCAGGACAGAACTTTCCTCATTCCAGATTTCAAAATCTCCTACAATTCCAGCCCAGTGAAGTGTTAGAATTGAGGATCCATTTTTAAATCTACCTGCAAAAACTCACTCTCAGCGTACAGATGACATTTTCTTTATCAAGCTGAACTACCACAGATCCCTCTAAACAAAACAGACTCAACCCCACCAATATTTATTTTTCGCTTACTACCTTAGCTCAGAAATGCCTTGGACAGAGATTAGGTCTGCGGTGTGCCATGTACAGCTTGATCCTGGCACTTGATTATACACATAATTTATAATAACATAATTTATAATAAAGAGCACAGACATCAGGACTACCTGCAGCTCTCCAAGTTTAGCAGATGTTGGTGATACCACGGGGAAAGACCCTTTGATGGGATGGTTGGGAGAGAGCTGGGACAGTTTGGTGATCTGCACTTTGCCAATGGGGAGGTGGTCAAGCTTGGTCAGGACCTCCAGGACAAGCACACCCATATCTGTGAAAATTAGGAACAGTTTCAGGTCAGCCTCATGGTCACAATTAACACTTTTTGATTAAAATGACAGAGATGTCAGAGGTTGTTATGTTTTATATGGAAATGATAATAAAATGAGACATCAGGCAGAGAAGAGTCACTACAGATATTATTACTGCTATGTGATAAATAAACACAAGATTACCAGTAAAAGAAATGACATAACAAGGGGGAATGGCTTCCCACTGCCAGAGGGCAGGGTTACATGGGATATTGGGAAGGAATTCTTCCCTGTGAGGGTGGGGAGGCCCTGGCACAGGTTGCCCAGAGAAGCTGTCCCATCCCTGGAAGTGTTCCAGGCCAGGTTGGATGGAACTTGGAGCAACATGGTCTAGTGTATGGCAGAGGGTGGACCTGGATGAGCTTTACGGTCCCTCCCAGTCTGGGATTCTATGAGTAGCAACAGCCAGCACAGGTTTTACAGACAGACTCTGGACATCAGGCTTGCATTAATTTCCTGCATATCTTTCACTAAATTAAGTACTAAATTAACCTTACAAGCTCAGCTGAGTACCTTCCTATTTTCCACACCTTTAGACACTGAAATGCCTGTATGTATAATACCAAACCCCACAGAATCACAGAACAGCTGGGGTTGGAAAAGACCTCTGGAGACTATCGAGTCCACCCTGGGACCGATCCCCACCTTGTGAACCAGAGCAGAGCACTGGGTACCACATCCAGTCGTTCCTTGAACACCTCCTGGGATGGGGCTCCACCATCTCCCTAGGCAGCCTCTTCCAATGTTTAACAACCGTTTCCATGAGGAAATTCCTTCTGATGTCCAACCTGACCCTCCCCTGGCACAGCCTAAGCCTATGACCTCTTGTTCTAACCTACTCCTAATAAACTCCTCGGCTTTAGCGGGTCTCCCACGCGAAATGTCCCTACCTGCCAAATACGCAGCGAACTGCCGGGGCCCGCAGCGCACCGGGAAGCGGGCGGTGGTTCTCCCGGCGGGACGCCCGGGCCGGGATGCGGGCTGGAACAAGGTGCCGCCGGAGGTTTCCCCCCACCACCTCAGGCGGACGACGACGGGCGGTTTTGGGGCCGCCCAGACCACCCTGGACACGGTGCAGCGGAGGAAGCAGCGCGGCGGGCCCTGGACGAGCGGCGGGAGGCTGGTGGCGGCGGAGGGAGCGCCGGGACCTGTGGGGACAGGCGGCGTCAGCGGCCACCCGAGTTCCCATGCCGCTTTCCGCCCCATCCCGCCGCCCTTTCATCCCCCCAGGATCCCTCCAAACCTTCCCTCCGCCCTCCCATCCCCTTCCACACCTTCCCTCCGCCGCATCCCGCCCGCGCCTCCCGCCCGGCAACGGCCGCCCCGGCGGGGGACTACAGCTCCCGTCATGCACCGCGCCCCATAGAGACCAGCGGAGCCATGGACTACATTTCCCAGGATACCACGGGACTACATCTCATGCCCGCCCGCCGAGCGCCGCTGCCGCACCCCGGGGAACTACAGCTCCCGTCATGCCCCGCAGAGCACTGCGGCCTACATTTCCCATGGTGCCACGGGGCCTCCACCACCTCCCGTCCGGCAACCCCGCGCTCCCGTGCCTCCCCTGTAACATCCCAGAACCCTTCCATCCTTCTATTCCGCTCCACATCTCCCTTCTGCCGCGGTCCAAATCGGCCGCTCGTTCCCCACGCCCGTGCCGCATCCCTCCCCACAACTGCCGCCATGGCGGTAGACTACAACTCCCGTCATGCACCGCGCTCTATAGCGGCAGTGGAACCGCGAACTACATCTCCCATGACGCCACGCGGATGTTTCCCGTGGTGCCGCGCGGCGGCGCTGTCGAGAGAGGCCGCTTCCGGCGGGGCGGAGCGGGCGGGGGCGGCTCGGGGGGTTCCGGTGTATCCCGGTATTCCCGGTGTGTCCCTCGCCGTCATGTCGGCCTTGGAGAAGCAGCTGCACCTGGGCCGCCTCTCACCGCGGCCCCCGTTGCCCGGCGGCGGCGGCCAGTCGGGCTCCAAGATGCGCATGGGGTAGGCGGGGGAAGGGCGAGGGCGGCTGAAGGGGCCGGGGGGGGGTTAGGGGGGGAGGGTTGTAGCAGAGGGGGAGCTCTGGAGGCAGAGGTGGTCTTTTGGGGGGATCTGGAGGGAGGAGGATTCATTTTGGGGGGTGTGAAGGGAAGGGTGTTCGTATTTGGGGGGTGTGCACGGAGGTGGTGCTTATTGGGGGGTCTGGAGCGAGGGGCGCTCGTATTGAGGAGTCTAGCGGGGGCTCGTATGGGGGGGTCTGGAGGGAGGGATGCTTGGTTTTGAGGGGTCTGGAAGGAGGGCGGCTTGTGTTGGGGGGGTCCGAGGGGGGGGGCTCGTATTCGAGGGGTGTGGAGAGAGGAGTGTTTGTGTTTGTGGGGTCTGGAGGCGTGTATTGGGGGTCAGGAGAGAGGGGTGCTCGTTATTTGGGGTGTCTGGAGAGAGGGGTGGTAATTGTTGGGGGGTCTGGAGGGAGGGGGGCTCATACTTGCAGGGCCTGGAGGGACGGATTGGGGGGTCTGGAGGGAGGGGTGCTTGTTTTTGGGGTGTCTGCAGGGAGGGGTGGTCGTATTGGGAGGGGTGCTCATTATTTGGAGGGAGTGGCTCGTTTTGGGGGATGTGGAGGGAGGGGTGGTTGGTATTTGGGCGTCTGGAAGAAGGGGTGCTCATGCTGGGTGTAGAGGGAGAGGTGGTCATTTTGGGGAGGTCTGGAGGCAGAGGGGGTTCATATTGGGGGTCTGGAGGAAGGGATGGCCCTGCTTCCCAGAAGCAGCACCTGGATCAGGCTTCTCCAGCCACAGCAGGCAAAGGTGGCACTGCCTGGAGTATCCTCAGGGCTGAGGGGAGGTGACAAGTCCCAGGATTGCTCTCCAGCCCTTTTTTCCAAATCCGTTTGCCATCAGTTTTGGGAGGGAGTGTCAAGAACCTTTTCCATCTGGTACCTCAGAGCGTGGCTGGGGAAGAGAGGTGTTTTGGAATTCTTGGGAATTGGATTCCTAAGTCAGAGTTGGACTTTGATGATCCTTGTGGTGTGATGATCCTTTTTCCAGCTCAGGGTGTTCCATGATTCTGTGGTTTCTCAGCAGCAGGTATCCTTGTGAAGTAGGTGAGCTCTGCTGAGGGACTTGAATCCCTGCTCCAGGTGATGGAAAATCTGGGACACTCTTAAATCTTTCAAGCAGGAGTTGAGAGCACATTTTGGGAGCTGTGGGAGAAGTTTGACTTAAGGATGTGGATGGCAAGTAGAAAGGATAGAACGGGCAAGAACAACCCTTATTCCCTGAGTCAGGGGGAGAAAATGGGTTGCAAATGGGATACTTCTGAAGGGAATTTCATAATTCCACTTCCAAAGGTTGTGGTGTGAGGAGAAAAACAGGATCTTGCAGCAGGTTGGTTTGAAGGGAAGGGGGTTCCAGGTGCAGAGGGAAGCAAAGGAAGCTGGCAGGGATGGTGCAGATTTAAAACATGGAGGTTTTAACTAATTTAATTAATCAGAAAAACTGAGATTTTATTAAATCTGGAGAAAATGTGTTTTCAGGGATGTGAGAGTATGGAATTTGAGGTCTGGCTTGTGACAGAGACCAGGGGTTGGTGCTCTGGTCCCCTCCACCTCAGGACCTCTGCACGATTCCTGCTCCATTAGGAGGATAAAAATATCCTACAATTCTCCTAGGAAACCTGCTTTGATGCAGGAAATCAGGTAACTAAAAGAAATAATGGGAATTATTGGAAATATGGAAATAAACTGTTGGGGTATTTGTGGATGGGAGAGGATCATTTTCCTCTCCTTTAAAGCAGAGTTTAAAAAGGTTGGTACACATCTCATTATTTTTGGATTTCCATCCATATTTTTGGATATCCATTGATTATATTTGGATGGATGGAATGCACTTGGTGTTGTTAGGACATGAATTAATGCTGCCAAATCTTCATCAAACACTGCTTTATTTTAATATGAATTATTTTAAAGGTAAACTTCACCCAAGTGATTACTGGCATGGCCTTTGGTTAAGCAAAAAAGTTACGTTTTAGGATTAATTTAGGTAATATGCATAGAAATTAGAAAATAAGTGAGCTTGAATGACTTTCTCTCTTTCAGGACTGTTGTCTGCTCTCCTGTGGCTCTTGGTTACCTGAATTAAGAGTTTCCTTATGAAATGTGGGGTTGTGAACAAGCCACTAAACTCCAAATTCCCCAGTTTGTGTCATGGGGAGGCTTGGATTTCACAGTAGTGTGCTGAAGGTTACATGGACATACAAAGTTAGATTCAGTGTTAAATATATTATTTAATTTTGCTGGCTCTGTTCAGAACAGGTTTCACCAAGCAAAGTCTGCCAAGCACAATTTTCCTGGTTTAGATGAAGAAATTAAATTTTTAATTCTTCCTCTTGTTTTATCCTCTTTAACTCATCCATCACAGCTATTTTGTGTATTTTTTAATGTGCTTTATACAGTTTTCTTGCACTGTAAACTTTGTCAACACCTCATCCCTTGTGATAGTTTTTGTTAGAAAAACGGACAAAAGTAAAGACATTTAAGTTACTGACTTAATGAAGTGCTGTCAAATCAACCCCCCCATATATTTGTTGCTTCATTTGCTCATTGCAGGTAAAAAAACAACTTGTAACGGGCATTTCCAGGGATTTTTCAAAGGGTTTTATAGATACTTATGGTTTTTTTTTTCTATTTAGAGATATTTATGCTCATTAGTAGCAATTCAATATATTAATTTATACAATTCTTCCTGTCTTGCTGCACTTTGGAGGGTTTTTAAACACTGTTAGGGAATTATGAAGGAAAGTTTGCTTTCTGTTGTCCTATAAACCTCTTTTTTTCCTTTCAAATACTTCCTGAGAGCACTGATATGAAACCTGCAGTTGTGGTTAAGGATCAAGAATTTCCCTGGAATTCTTCCCCTTGGAAGCAGCAGGGAACAGTCCATAATAATGTTGTGTTGTGTGGCACAGTTGTATTTTTTGTTTTCAAGTAAATCCCTTTATGGTGGACATTCCTATTGCACACCCAACATGGAATGGCCTCATCCAGAGGGGCCTGTGGCTTGTATGGAAAGGAGACAAGAAAAAGTGGGATGGAGTTTAGCTTAGGCTGAGTTTATCCTTACAAGGTTCAGTTCAGTACAAACCAGTACTGCACAATTGGGATAAAACAGCTGCAGAAGGTGCCCAGAATGTGTTTTGTAATTCCAGTTTAATGTGCTGGAGTTTAAGGATCATTCCAGAAAAATTATTCTGTCACACCCATTTCTGATTTGGTTTGCTGGATCCTTTAAAAAGCACTAATTAGTTTTGTCAGTTCAAATATTTGGTCAGCAAAATGTTGCTTCAGCATAGGAAGGTGCAAACCCACAGCTGCTGTTTAATGGGTTTGCTTCTAATTTTGAATTTTGAGTGTGTGTTGTATTAAAAAAAGCAGCTCTAGATAAATTCAAAATCAAAGATACTCATTCTTTTCTTGGGAGAAATGTTTTCTACCCCCTGTGGTCACTTGGGATTTTGCAGAAAACTCCACGTTTATTCTGCCCTTTGAGGGGGTTCGGTGTTAAATCTGAGGTTATTTTATGTTTCAGCATTGCTTGGAGGTATTTTCTTTTAAATCATGTATTTACATCAGAGGTGACAATAGTTTTTAATTCCTGACTCCTCTTCACTTTCTGCTCCAATTCCCTTGCAAACATAGGAATTCTTGTTAATTTTTTTTCCCTCAGATATTCCACGTTTGTCACACAACTATTAACGTTTTCCCTGGAGGTGTTAACTCTTGTTGAAGCTGCTAAATCCATCAGTAGGGCGAGTTCCTGAGGAAGGGCTCAGCTTTGATTTCATGGATTCCTCTTGCAATTCCTGAGCTACTCTCCATGGATCTGTCGTGGTATTACCATCTGCCTGCCTTTTGCATGGATATTTTAGCATTGGATCTCTGCTGTCAGAAATGGAAGGAGACACAAAAATACTCATCCTTGGAAGTGCTCAAGGCCAGGTTGGACAGGGTTTGGACTAGTGGAAGGTAGGGATGACAGGGGGTTGGAATGGGATGGGCTTTAAGGTCCCTCCCAACCTAAATCAGTCTGGGATTCTCTGAAAAGCTGGATCTATTCCCAGGGAGTGGTTAGATGTGGAAAATGGAGAAGCCTCACAGGTTTATTCTGTGGTCCAGGGATTGTGTATCAGTGCTCCCAGGAAATGGGAAACCTTTTTTCCGGGAGAAGGAGCTGCTCCAGGCCAGCCTAAGAGACTTGAGACTGAGACCAAGTTCTCCAGGTTCTCTCAAATCATCTGCTTGGGAAAACAAGC